ACTTTTTGAGCCATCTATAAGTTTGTGATGTATGTGTGAAATTATTTTTGTAAAATCACCACGATACTAAGGAAAAATAAAATGTGGGGCAATGTTAAAAAAAGTAGGTGTTAATACTGATTATTTTTATTATTTTTCATAATAATTTTTAGTTTACAAAATATTAAAAATAAGTAGGTAAAGGAATTCCTCCCGACCGTACCACTCGATTCGCCTCCTCCTTAATTATGCGAACTGCTAAAATCTGAAATTCTCTCACCGTGTCGCTGTTCCCGGATACCTACAATTTAGGGATTTTCAAGGCATTTTTTTAGTTTACATGTTCCACCTTAGACCCCATCATAGCTTTCCATCAGGCGTGATAGCTAGGTCAAACGCACTCCAATAACTAATAAAAAAAAAAATCACTAGACTCCGTCTTAGAGTTTCTAGTTAATCTCCGATTAACAAAACGAAACGGTGCCATCGACCGGTCACCGGCCATATGCAACAGTTTAGACCTGTCAACGTAACGCACGTGCTAAAGGCCACTACGTGTTTGTACATGACACACAGACAGACATTGCTTAGACCCGTTAACTAATTACACTTACCATATTTATATTATTTAAAATCTTAAGTATGACTAGGTTTACATATGACTTCGTTTTTATCTATAATCTATACTAATATTATAAAGAGGTAAAATTTGTAAGTTTGTATGTTTGTAAGTTTGTATGTAGGGGGTAATCTTTGGAACCGCTGATCGGATTGCCAAAATTCTTTCACGGATAGATAGGTACAATGTTCCCGAGTGCTATAGGCTATAAAACATTACGCTATGCTTAAATGGAGCCGAGCAGCGGGTGAAACCGTTAGAGAGTAGCTAGTTTAAGTATATAATTGTGTGAGAGCGATGCTTCGGCAGGAATGGGTCGGCTCGACCGGAGGATACCACGGCTTTACAGAAAACCGGCGTGAAGCAACTACAGCGTTGTTTCGCCGTGTCAGTGAGGTTACCGGAGGCCCAACTCTTACCTTGTAATACTTGATGCTGATCTATGATTATTCCGACTCCAACTAAAGGAAATCATTATAAGAATATAACCAGCCTTACTTAAGTTTTTAGCGCCATTTTCTTGTTTTGCACAGCAAAAAATATGGGATAAACTGTCGTCGCCAAAACGACCTTCTTCCTTTGGCCGCTATCACGCCTGGTGTTAAGCAATGATGTGACCTATAATAGATCACGCTTACCTATAAGAAACCTATTCATCCTCTTCCCTCTATGACCCCTTTGGTGTTGTGCGTAGCGCTGATCGCTTACCATCAGGGTGATCTGTCTGCTCCTATTGGCCTCCTGTTCCATAAAAAAACTTCTGGTTTTAGGCTTTATCTATACTAATATTATAAAGAGGTATAATTTGTAAGTTTGTATGTAGGGGGTAATCTTTGGAACTGCTGGTTGAATTACCAAAATTCTTTCACTGTTAGATAGCTACAATATTCCTGAGTGCTATAAGCTATAAAATATCCCGCTACAATCAAATGGAGCCGAGCAGCGGATGAAACCGCGCGAGAGTAGCTAATTACTTTTAAACATGTGTAAAACCCTTCTTCTCCGCACGAAAGCATATCTCTCTAGTAAAAAAAAGTTTACTATAAATCTGCTTTTGTAAGTGTACCTATACTCTTTCATAGAGATCCGTACCGTAGTTTTGCGTGTCCAAGCACACAGGCAAACGACTGATTCACAGTATTTAAAACACGACGTGTCATGAACAGATTATAATCTTAACCGACGATCTGTAATTAGTTAGCGAGTAAACCGTCGTTAACAAGGTATTGTCGACCGTCAAATCTGTCATACCATTTTGGGACGTACTGAATGCCATTTTGCATAACAACAAGGTCAAATTTTGTTTGAACGTGACTTTTGTCTAGCTGAAGAGGATACAAAAATAGGTTTCGCCTGGATAGTTAATATATCAGCTGACCAGACCATTTGTAGGTGAGGTAATTGACTGGCGTTGTGGCTTTTTTAAGGGGGCAAATCATCAAATATTTTTTCTTGCTCTGGGCACTTCGCCCAAACGCTAAGGTATGTATTAAACTCTTATTGATCACTCCTTTCCTTCTCCTGCACCAAGACGAGACTGCGGTACATCTCCATTGCATTTGCACCCACATCATCATCAGCCTATAAGTGCCGACTGCTGAGCAAAGGCCTCTTTGCACACGGAGAAGGTTTGAGCATTGTTCACTCGCTTGCTCAAGGCGGATTGGCGATTTTAAATTTATAAATATTTTTGTCTTGGTTTCTTCACGATGCTTTCCTTCACCGTATGTCAGTGGTGCATTTAACCTGTAACATTTACTTTTTTTTTATGTAATAGTTCGGCAAACGAGCAGACGGATTACCTGATGGTAAGCAATCAGCGCCGCCCATGGACTCGCAACGGAGGACTCGTTACGATTGCTTTGCCGACCTTTTAGGGATTAGGGATTTGGAGATTTAGGGATTGAGGTGGGATTGGGGAAGGAGAAGGATTGGGCCTCCGTTGAGGTTTCGAACGCTCATGCTTGAAAAGCGAGCGCCTTAACCTCCGGGCCACCACGACCCACATTTGCACCAACCCCGACTATTTGGAGCAGTAGCTGACCGGTTGCCGTGCTACTTGTCGTTTTAAATTCTTCTGATGACTCAAGAAAATCCCTCAACCACGTTTGACGGTTCCAAAAACCGATCGCCAAAACCTGAGGTCACGATTTTCGAAGAAGGTAATCCATCAGTATTGGAGTGTTTAGAATATCGATAGGTACCTTATTTTAGAAGGATATTTCGCATAGCACGTGCTCACGTACATTTTAATAGTGTCGTGGTTAGGTTCTTAAGGAGTTTAGTGACAATGATTTAGTTGGGTACAGCCTATAAGTCTTGTCTCGTCTTTAGTTCGACGCGACGGACGTGACATGATGAAACTGCTGGTGGCTGTATATATGACGAAAAAGTTTTCGTTTAAAAAAAAAATTAGCGGCTTGTCTCTGCGTGGAACGGGGATACAACATCCTCGCTATCGACGGAAGCTTCGCCATTACCCGATTTCTCCGTCGTTTTCAAAAAGAGAATTGGCAATGTGTTCAGTCTTTGTGGAGTTGTTGTGAGTTTTCAACACATTATGCGATTCATTTTTTTATTCACAGATTACAAAACAAAGGCAGATAGACCGTGCAGAACGCGAAAGTGAAACCACGAAAGCAAATACAAATTCAAAAGCGAATACAAACTCGAGTCAGTACGACCAAACCGGCTTCATATTATTGTTTCATGCGATCCATCTGCCTTTGTTATCTAATCCGTGCTATATCTATAAAAGAAAGTATCTGGGTGGTAGCGGCGGATGGTCTCGCTGCAGACGCAACTGCTAAAAAGAGGCTCCAGTTTTGTTTTCTGAGTTGGGCAAAGATCTATTATTGTTTTACCTTTTAATCGTGGTTATTTCGCGGGAGGGACTGTCAGACTCTTACAACTAAAAACCCCCCTGTTCATTCTCCTGCTCCGGGCCGAAGTCGCGGTGACTCATTGCGCTTACCCCGCAACCCTGGCTGAACATCAGCCCTATAGGGCCCCGTCTGTGGTGGTCTATTGGCTCTTTGAGGTGCGCGGAACGCTACGCACCGCGATAATTCAATTTTAATTGGTCATCAAAAAGGTTGAGTTCCATACTTGGCACTCACATCCAACAAGTCAAATTCAAAACCTTTATTGAAATGTCAAAAACGATATTTTCTTAGAATTATTTAGGAGAGCGCAAAATATAACGTCATAATGTTTATAAGATAAATATTAGACTTATTTTTAAAAGTTTAAAAAAACCTAAAATAAAGTAGGTATATCGCCAAATCAATGTATCTATTATAGTATGATTTTATTTTAATAATCTTCAAAATACCTTGGTGGGCTTGACGTTTCGACCTGGTTGCACAGGTCGTGGTCACAAGCAGACATGACACAATCATTTATTTTTGCCCTAGGAAATAAAACCTACAGGAGTACCTATATTACTTGGAGCAGACAAGAGAAGAGATATAATTGCATCTCGTTCCATTTTTAAATTTAAATTTGACCCACACGCTTAAATAGGTAGGTACATAGTAAATAAAAAAAATATGAACCAAAGACACTAAAGTTATAGCTTATACCTATCAAAACTGTGCCCTCTTTACCTTGGGCCAGATAATATTTTACCTAAGTGAAGTCAAAGTAGCTACTAAGTTAGTGTTATTACATAATAAGTAAGCAACTTAATATCGTGGGACACGCAGTGTGCAACAGTGCGGGAACTAAGACACCTGCATTCTTAACTTATTAAATAGTAACTAGGTAGGTATCTACTTAGATAAATCACTAATCACATGCAACCTTTATCTTGTTGCGTCGGTTATTTTTGCTTTTTTTATTCAAGAGAACTGGCGGAATAATGGATAGTGATAATTCCTAGACAAAGATGAGGTACAAGTGCGTTACCAACTTCTAAAGAGGCTTGGATGCTTTGGCAACGCAAAACAAATAACTGTAGCGATTTTCACTCGAGTCTTTTGTTTTCCTCCGAGGCTGTACAATAAATTCGGTTGATATAATTATACCCATTCATCAATAGATCCACTTTAGTGATTTGTATATCTAGACAGGTTGAATGAAACAAGATTTACAATCAGTTTTTTATTTCTCTGTTTTTCGTACAGACGTATTCGTTAAGCATAGAGTACGTCCGTAGTTAACTGGCTATGTAGGTCAAGATTTCTTAAAAAATCTAAGACAGCTACATTTGCGTAATGCCGTTTTTTGTATTTTACTGGAATTTATTTAAATCGATAATCAATTTTAATTCATTATTCGTTAAAATGTAAAAAAATTGAAATAAAAAATAGAAAAGCACATTGAAAAAAAAACATGTACGAAGTGTGTATCCGAACAAAAATAAAATCGCATCTTTGACAAACGTCAAAGTTAAAACTGTCATTATCACTGTCATATCCCTACCCATCCGGGGATGAAATCATTTTACCGAAAAATGTTATTTATACAATAAATTATAAAAACTAAAATAAAAAATAACATGTAAATATGGCAGACAAACTCAGGCAGATGGCGCAAAGGCTGAAAGACAAAGTGCATTTACCTCATTTAGCGAACGGTCGTGATACTATTTTTACTAAATATACCCCAGCAACCAAAGTTTCGGATATAGCGGATAAGTTTAAATACGACACAGTATCGAAGAATTTGCGCGACATAGTATCCAGATATGAAAAATTCACGGGAGTCGACGAAATTATGGCTCTGCAGAAAACCGTGGTGGATGCACAGGTTGGTATTTTTTTTACAATCCCTGATAGGCGCAAGGTCAATCATTGTTATGCCTTCTTTTCTCATCGTTATGGTATACGAACTCCTTGCTGATTCTATGCTTACGTCATAGTATTATATTGTCTATACTTCCCTAACTTCAAAGTTAATTGAGATTTAGTTAAATAAATAAATAAATGCTTGTTCATCTCAGATTGCATAGATAAAACTAGAAAATGACGCAATAAATTTATACTTTGTCTTTACAAAGGCTTATTTACTGCATGAATGCATTACTATGTAGAACTACATGTGATTGAATTAATTGGTCATCTGCCAATAATATAAAATTTTTTATGGATGTAAAATTAATAATATTATACTCCTAGATGAGCTATGCTATGAGTAAGCCACTAGGTATTATATATTTAGATTTTCCAGTGTTACAATTATATAAATTATTGTATATTGTATGTAAACACTTAAAGTTTAATAGGACATGTTTAGAAATGGTCACTATGGTGAATCAACTTCATAAAGGAGTTAAAGCTAAAGAAATTTACTTTAAACAGTAACAAAAAAAATGTAGAAATGTATATTATAAACGATTTATTTCACTTAGAAAGAGTGGTTCATGGTTTTACAATAAAAAAATATCACTAGATATATTAAAGTCTATCAGTTTAGGTGGTTAACCAAAGATAAAGACAAAGTCAAAGTTTTTTAGTTTTTATTTATTTATTTAAAAAAGGGTACACTGTAGCGACATCTAGCGCACTACATAAACAACAGCACCAATCACGAGCAAGAATCTACATCGCGCTATAAGAGTTTTCCACACAATTAGCACCCATACAGATATCCCGACAACAACCGTCGGGCAGTAGCCCACCAGGCACGAACACCTCGCCTGGTCGGAGGATCCTCCCTTTTCAATGGATGATGAGGAACTTTCCACCCTGTTCCTCATGCCTCCAAACTGGTGACCCCGAGCATGAACATCAACGCAGCCTTCGTGCAACTACGTCATAGCCATGACGTCATCACTTCCTCGAGCTTTCAAGCAGCGAGTCTACAGTCAGCCAGCTTCCACGGCTACAACGGGTTCCCTGACCACCAGCATGCAGCCGACGCGCATTCCTGGTCAGCACCTACAGCCTCATCAGCAACTTCGGCACAGCATACTGCACCGGCCGGTCAGCTAGCAGAGACGTACTCCCTCTCCTGGTCGACGCAGCAGCTAGCCACTCTTCAGCACCTACAGCCTCATCAGCAAACTTCGGCACAGCATACTGCACCGGCCGGTCAGCAAGCAGAGACGTACTCCCTCTCCTGGTCGACGCAGCAGCCAGCCACTCTTCAGCACTGCACCACCCGACTCACTGGGGCATCTTCGCAGACAGATTCGACGCACTGAAACCATCAACTGGCTCGACAAGCATCTCACAGACGACTCAACCAGCTGACGACCTCCGGTCTCGGAGGGGAGTGATGTAGCGACATCTAGCGCACTACATAAACAACAGCACCAATCACGAGCAAGAATCTACATCGCGCTATAAGAGTTTTCCACACAATTAGCACCCATACAGATATCCCGACAACAACCGTCGGGCAGTAGCCCACCAGGCACGAACACCTCGCCTGGTCGGAGGATCCTCCCTTTTCAATGGATGATGAGGAACTTTCCACCCTGTTCCTCATGCCTCCAAAACACCGACAGCTTCTGTATATAGCAAATTAAATAAAACAATAATAACATTAGGTTTTGGCCTTATACAGTCGCCAATTACAGGTAACCAGCATTCTTAAAAATAAAGTGATAACCTAGTAGTGTAAGAACGAAAGTATCTATTACAATAACATAATTAGAATTATATTAAAAATATGTTTAGATATAAAGACATGCCAAGATTGTTTGCATTTAGTTAATTACATAAACCGATAGACCATTTACCGTCACCAGCACCGTCTTGACTAAATGTATGATTGGTGTATTGGCTGGGCAACCAACATCTGAACTTCTGCATGAAACGGTACCAAACAGGTTCAAATCAGACTTCGTACGACTGCTTGTTCAATTTGTACGTTTGTAAACACATTGTTGACATAAATATATTCAAGATTGGGCCCAAAGTTTGTTTTAAAGTGTAGTATTTAATCGGATAATTGAGATTTTAATAATGATAAGTAAACAATGAAATTATGAAGATTTGGCAATTCAAGTAGTGAAAATTGGCGTGATTAAACTACCAAGTTGTTGTGTTTCACCGTGTGAGTGAGGTTGCCGGTAGCCCAATACATCCTTTCTGCCAATCCCTAATTCACCAAACCCTAAACTCCAAATAGCCAGCAACGCACTCCTCCACGTAACTCCTCCTGTGTTGTGGACGGCGCCAATTTTTTTTTACCCTACGCCATGTTTTTCTCTGGTGTCGTGGGTGCGTTTACAAATACCTATACACATTTTCAAATACACACCACACCCAGACTCAGATCAATAATTTGTAGATCACACAAAGAGTTGTTCCGTCGCAGTTTCGATTCCAACGTTGCGTGGCAGCCACTTGCTCAGCCATTGCGCCAACCGTGAAGTCTTGCAAATTGCTTACAACCAAAGTCAAAGTTCAAAGTCAACGTCAAAATCATTTATGCCATAACTAAACCATAAATAGGTACTTTTGAAACGTCACCAAGGAATCTGTCTGCTTGATTGCCGACCTATTTTTGACCTTATTCTTAAACAGATTTTTTCTTTTCCCAGGAAAAGTTTATGGCTGCTCAGGATAGGCGACGGGATCTCGGTCGGCAGGTGACCAACGTGGAAATGAGGCTGAAGGAACTGCATTCTGAGATGCAGAACACTATGAAAGGGGATGACAAGTACTTACACCTTTGTACTGAAGAGCATAAGGTTGGTTTTTGCTTGTATTTTTAACTTCAATAATGTTTTGATACTGATCTATACCTACTCCTATTAAAAAGGGGTAAAATTTGTAAGTTTTCATGTAGGGGGTAATCTTTGGAACCGCTGGTCGGATTGCCAAAATTCTTTCACTGATAGATAGCTACAATGTTCCTGAGTGCTATAGGCTATAAAACATCACGCTACGATTAAATGAAGCCGAGCAGCGGGTGAAACCGTGCGATAGTAGCTAGTTGCTAATATACCTTGAAGTTTAAGCACATTTAACCCGTGATATACCCCGGAGCGCAGATCCGAGAGATGTACGCGAGACGTGAGCCGGAGTTGCGGGGTAATGAGGCACCGCGACCTCGGCCCAGAGCAGGAGAAGGAACGGGGGGGTTTTTAGTCAGTAAGAGTCTGACATTCTCTCTCGCCGTACCTTGGGCGGGAAAAGTCATTGGACGATTATCCCCTAACAAAAATCTATTTTCTATATTTTGTCATAATTATACGGACAGACAAAAGGTTAAGGCGTATAGTACCCTCAATAACCTCGAGCATGCTAACGCACGACTGGCGCGGGCTGCGTTCGCCCGCTTTTTATATATGGAAATCCCAATAATATATCATGTTCTTTGTAACATATTGACTGATTTACGTGAGTGCTACCCAATTTGTAGTAAAATGTAACACCAATTGATCTATTTAAAAATAAAATTCAATAAACCAAGCCATTTAGAAGTAATAGGCATTTATTTTAACAAAATAGCGTGTTGGTAAATAGTTTTTTACAGCTAAACTATTTGTCATAAGAAAATCAAATTTACTCACATTGTAGTACATGAATCTACAGTAAACATATTTTTTTTTCAATCTTTACTGGGTGTAAAGACTATTATTATATATTATAACTATTCCAGCTTATAGTACAAGAGCGAGCCCTCCGCGCGTTGTTCGGTGATGCTGAACGGGAGGAGAGAGAACTCTTTGCTACCATGTCAGCCGCCGTCAAACTGGGCCACGAGCGAGAGAGGGCACACGCTGAGCGGAACAAATATTGGTATATCGTCGCTTCTATATTGGGTGAGTTACCTGCATTTCTGCTTACCCACTTTTTTGTGTGATTGGTCGGCAAACGAGCGAACAGATTACCTGATGGTAAGCACGTTGTTACACGCTGGTTTTCTGTGAGGCCGTGGTATCACTCCGGTTGAGCTGGCCCATTCTTACCGAAGCATGGCTCTCCCATACAGTACTCCAAGTAAACCATAAATAGGTACTTTTGAAACGTCAAGATAGAATAGTAGTCTATCAATCTGTTCGTCAGTGAAGCTAGGTGCTCGTTCCAAATTGTAGTTTCGAATGGAAAAGAATGGGCAAGAACCTCATAAAGTATGGAGCAAGCTGAATTTATTATTTTTACCCGACTGCCAAAGAAGGAGGGTAATGTTTTTCGAGTGTATGTAAGTATGTATGTATGTCTTTTCCTTTGTGACCTCCTGTAGCCTAAACGGCTTGATGGATTTTGATGTATGAGGTATCGTTAGATTTGTCTTGATTACGGGAGTGTCATAGGATACATTTTATCCTAAAAGTCCCACGGGATAAAGACATAATAATATTTTTTCTAAATTTCCCTTTAAAAAAATATGTATGCGGTATCATTAGATTCATTTCAATCACGGGAGTAATTAATATAGGATACGTTTTTTCTCAAAATTCCCACGGGAACATGTTAATTCTGCGTCAACGCAAAGCAACTCATGCGTTAGCAAGCAAAAAGATAGGGCGTGGCCTGGCATGCGGCGCCAAATGTCGTCGAAATAATTTAAAATGGTACTTACATATACATAGTCTTCTACATCTACAACATTTTCGTTAAATAAAAACAGCTAAAAAGTTATAAATAAAAAAATTATTATTAAAAAAACAAAATACCCGACTGCACACTAAAAAAAGAGTAAAACAAGCCCCACAATACAAATTTACTGAATATAATTTATAAATGTTGATGGAAAGCATCGCAGGCGGGGACCACCTTGACCGCCACCAACGAAAATTCTGCTAAATGGTGCACAACAGAAATGACTATAAATAAGCCTCTGTTGGTCCCCGCCTGCGATGCTTTCCATCAACATTTATAAATTATATTCAGTAAATTTGTATTGTGGGGCTTGTTTTACTCTTTTTTTAGTGTGCAGTCGGGTATTTTGTTTTTTTAATAATAATTTTTTTATTGTTAATTAATGTTGTCCTACTTCGTACTGCTGTCTTAAGCTTGAGGGTCCAGGTGTTTGATACCTGGCAAGTACCAATATGACTTTTTCCTAGACATATACACTTTCTATGATTATTTAGACACCACTGACATGCGGTGAAAGAAAACATGCATCGTGAGGAAACCTGAACTTATAATTTCTAATTATAAGTTGGAAATCGCCAATCAGCCTTGAGAAGGCGTAGTGGTTAATGCTCAAACCTTTTCCGTGTGAGAAAAAGCCTTTGCTCAGCAGTGGGCACTTCTACGCTGATGTTGATATGAAATCTTCTTTATATATAAAAATGGATCGCAAAATGTGTTGGTAAGCGCATAACTCAACAACGCCTCGACCAATTTTGCTAATTCTTTTTTTGTTGTGTTTGTTATTGTCAGGAGAAGGTTCTTATCAAAGAAAATATTAGAAAACTAGTGGGGAAGATTAGGAAAAAGTAACCCTTTGATAGCAAGATAGTTGGACCCGTGCGAAGCGGGGGCGGGCTGCTAGTTAATAATAATAATAATCATAGTCACCTTTTTTCACCCCCCACAGGCACAGTGTTGGGAATAGCGGGTTCCTCAATAAACAATCACCTGAAGATGTCAGAATTCCGTCAGATGATGGAGCAGCAAATGGCCAGGTCTGCGAGCGTGTTATACACCATCGCTGGAGGAGGAACTACCGCCAGGGCAGATATTACTGAAGCCATGAAGGCTGAGTTTGCTTACCAGGTAAGTTGGTTCATAATCATCCTGTTACCTGGTTATTTTGCAACCCATTTTTTTTGTGAGGGGAAAATCATCAAATGTCTTCTCCTTTGGGAACTGGGGGTTTTTTAGTCAGTAAGAGTCTGACGCTTCCTCTCGCCTCACCCTGCTGGGCTGGAAAAGTCATTTGATGATTCTCCCCGCACAATAACAAATCATGCTCAAACTGCCATCTATACTTCTATACTAATATCATAAAGAGGTAAAATTTGTAAGTTTATATGTATAGGTACATACAATAGTACAGGTACACATACAAAGTATAGGTACATTTTTATGTAATTTAATCTATACTAATATTATAAAGAGGTAAAATTTGTAAGTTTGTATGTAATGTGGGGGGGGTTAATCTTTGGAATCGCTGATCGGATTGCCAAAATTCTTTCACTGATAGATAGCTACAATTTTCCTGAGTGCCATAGGCTATAAAACATCACGCTACGATCAAAAGGAGCCAGCGGGTGAAACCGCACGAGAGTAGCTAGTTATTGAGTAAAGTCATTATAGAATATTGTAAATTTTCTCGCGTTTGTTACAGGACAATCTCGCGAACAACTTAAAAGCAATGCAGGATAATATAAACAGTCTAGTCGCTACACAGGAATCTTTAATACGTAAGTATATCAAATTTATAATTACTACCAATAGGCTGGCAACACACTTGTAACTTGGTTGGTGTTGCCAGGGTCCTTAATGTTGTTGGTGAACCGAAACTTTGCTTCTTATGCACTAGGGTACGGGCCGAAACTTAAAAAGTACCAATATGACCTGTACCGAGCATTATGTACTTTCTAAAATTATTTTGTTGTGGGTCGACTCGGCCAGAGTGATACCACGACTCAAGAAAACCGGCATGAAACAACCACAGGTTGCCGGAGGCTCAATCCCTTTTATATAATGTATTTTATGGTAATATTTAAGAATGAATTTTTTATAGCAATTTCAATAAATATGTGTAGGCTCAAACAATCTTCATTATTTTCAGAACACCTTCATAACAGGGAGAAAACAGTAGATACACAACTTCGCGACCTTACACGCGCTATCGTGTCCGCGTCACAATCCAGCCAAAAATCTGATGCAGAAATCACCAAAGCCCTATCAGCTGTACACCACGACTTGGAAGATGCAGACCAGATTAAGGAAATGGACAAAAATAAAGTCCTTCTTGAACCGAATCAGATAATAACAGGAGTTGGCATTGTTATGGCAGTCGCCATTATTTTAGGAAACTTCATTGGTAGAGTCAGTTGAATTACTTTGTTAACTTTCTGTGTGAGGTTCCTACATTTTATTTGTTAAAAAAGGGTTTTTTGGTAAATTTTTAATTTATTATCTAGCAACACTGTGTTGCTAATGTCATTATCGGTAGTTTTTTGTATCTGTACCCTGGTATTTGGCTGTGTTATTTATTTTCTTCTATGTTTATTGTATCGTCACTAAATTTATATATTTATAAATTTAAAAAAGAAATTTTGACTAGGAACAACAATGAAAAAGTTTTATTTTTAAATGAAATCGTACCTACATTACAATATCGTCATTATTGCCAAAATGTTAAGTACGATTTAGCTTAATGTCGCTACGTAAATCAATGTGGGAACCTCCAGTTTCTAAATAATTCGCCATTGCGTCAAACGCAAAGGTTTTAAGCCAGTCATTTGTTTATACAAATTCATTGTGAATGCGAAATTTCATTATTGTTATATGCATGGGCGTAGATAGAATATATTCATAAAATATTCATGTAATACTTTTTTTCCACTCTTGGTGGGGAAAATAGCTTATAAAGAGCAATGCCCACCTCTGCCCTCTGCGTTAAAATGAGGTCTACCGTTTTTCTTATAGCTCTAAAATAGCTTATAAAATTGGCGCTATTATAAACTTATATCAAAATATAAGACAGCAAATTTTGCACAGATACACACAAAATAAAATTACTCTATAGTGAATGGCGCCATCTTGTGAGCAAAATAACGGTAGCCTTCATTTTTATGTACCAATGTTACTTTTTGTTATATTCCTTGCTAAATATAAAGTTCTCCAATACTTTGTAAACTTTGGTCTTATTGATATTTGCGGTCTTAAATTGAATGTTATTTTGGTGTTAAACAAAATATTGGTTCGCTTTTCCAAGTTTTAAGTGGTTGTTAGTTTTGGTTTTTGTCATTTATATTTCCTGTGCATCTTATTTTTGCGCACAAACGTCGTTTCTGTGTCGCATTTCAACTAAGTGTTGCCATAAATATGTTTTTTTACAAACTAAAATTGAATTAGTAATTTTTCGGTAACTGACTAAGGGTACCAGAGTAATAATAGTGCACCTCGATGACGTTCGAGATCGCATCGTATCTGTATTCAAACCGGTATAATATTGGACATTCAGTCTTAAAGCCAGTGTAAACCAACTAACAAAATATTCCAATATATGTATATCTTTATGTATGTTTCATATGACAGTGTTACTAAAATATAAATATGATTGTTTTATCATTTCGTTTTATTTATTTTGTAGCCTGTAAAATTAATTCATGATATAACTAATTGAACGGCACTTTTTCTTGTCAAAAGTTCATATTGGATATAGTTACGTAAAAAATGATCTTTACAAAAAAAATCACATGCATATCACATTACATCATCAGCCTATAAGTGCCCACTGTTGAGAAAAGGGCTCTTCTTAAGGCAAATTTGTGATTTCAAGCTTAAAATTAGAAATTATAAGTTATTGAATAACCATAGAAAGTAAGTTACTCGAAATAAAACCACTTGGTTCTTAACAGGTTTCGGTCCTTACCCTCATGCACGAGAAGCGGGTGCCTTGCTGGGCCACTAATCAATGCAAATAAGTTCAAAAGCCCTGGGCTCAAACAAAAAAAATACATTGACGCAATTGATCAGTCAAAAAGGTTCCATAAACTCCAAAAAAAAAAAAACAGTCAAAAAAATTGCTGTCAAATTAGCTGTCAACTGTGGCTGTCAAGCCTTGTAACGATAACGTTTCGTCGTACTGTGGAAAAATATTTTTATTCATTGTAAACAAGTTTATTATACAACGCATTAGCGTCCTTAATTGCACCCAATACGGCAAAATGCAGGAAGGTAAGCAACAAAGCAATCAAATTGACGCTACAAACTATTATTTAATCACATTGCAGTAACAATACAAAGAAGAAATTCCCTCCGAAACACAAAATGCTTAATTCGCATTTTTTTTAGATTTAGAAGTCACTGGCATATCTCGAAGCGGACGTGTAAGGAAGAAGAGTTCTAAATTAATGGACTTTGAGTCTCCTGACGACATTGAAACGAGATTTAGGCGGCAAACGCCCGTCAAACCGTATGTTGGTTTCCGTCAGGAAGAAACCCAAGAATATCAGCAACAGGAAAGTGCTACGGCCAGGCAGGATGACGCCGGCACTGCTTCTGGCAGCGAATCTGACTATTATGATAATCCTGGGGAAAATGCTGATAGGTGAGGTTATGTTTTTTTCTCTTAATGTTTAGCTGGCCTTTACTGGTAAAGAGGTTGGTTATGCTTCATTGTAGTGTCAGTTAGTATCCCAGAGCCTCTTTATGTACTCCCATTAAGTATACTTGTAGTTGATGGTATTGTACACATGTTTGTGTTTTTAATGGACGGCACACTAATATTTATTTCACATTATTTTGTATATAACACTTGTTATGGCTGTATTTTTTAAAGATACATAGCATAGACATTTCTAATAAGCAGTCCACCTAGCAATTTGTCTATACTAATACTATGTATAATATTATAAACCTGAAGAGTTTGTTTGTTTGTTTGAACACCCTAATCTTTTGAACTGCTGGTTCAAATATAATGATTCTTTTTGTGTTTGTTAGTCCATTTATCAAATAATATTAATTGTGTTATTATATAGGAGGGCTATAGGCTATAAAACATCACTTACATCACACTATGATGTGTAGTAGCTGAGCAGCGGGTGAAACCGTGTGAGAGTAGCTGGTTTATACATTAATATAGACAAGTGCTAACTCAAATAAATAACCAACCTAGCCTGCCTCAACTTACTACTCTCCCCAAATGGCCCCAATAAGCCTAGGTTTCAATCCTACAGGGTGTGCCTTCAGTGATGTGTTCATTCAGTAGGTTTTTGTTGCCTTGGCAATGGGCCTTAAGCATTGATGCCACAACACCGAGTATTCTGGTCAAATACTCAACTGTCTTACACTAAATATAACCAAAGAAATCCAATAGCAAAATCTCTCTTTCATAGAGTGTTACTGCTAAAGTTTTGAACTACATAGTAATCATTCTGTTTGCTTCTCTGATCAGGAACCTCCTTTTCCAACACTCTGTTTACTGAATATATGCAGACATTATTAAAAAAAAAAACAATTCTTCTATAATGAAAATTATCCTAGGTTATGCTTGTGGGTCTGATCAATATGACTTGTTCTATAGTGCCTTTTTTATTTATTTATTACTTCATGCACAGCCACAAATTGTACACAAGGCGGACTTAATGCAATGAGCATTCCCTTGCCAGTCTATCTTAGGGTGATGCAAAAACAATCCAGTGGTAGATGCAAGAAGCAAGCTAGAGTTACGTACTTTTGTGGCTAAAGTCCGGTCGAAGAAATTCGTACAATGACCTCTTTACCTACTGACAGTGGTCACAAACATTTTTGTATAAAGTGCAGTTTATAATATTTGAAGGAGAAAAAAAATACTAAAGTGAGACATTTTTCTTTTCTTCCGCGGAGAAACAAACTCCTTGAATGGACGCGAGGTAGATGGCGCTGGTTCCATTTTACAAGAGTGAAGTAAACTAAAAAATTTAACAAAACCACTTAACAATTAAAACAAGATAACAAAAACTAACAAATAACAACAAACTAAGATAACTGAGATTATTGTCCGAAAACTGAGCGATCACTAACGCATCCAGAGATGGAATTTCGTTCGTTAAAAATTATGAATTATGTCAAGTAAGCCATGTCATGAGTCAAGGCCAACCAAAAACCACAACCACAAACAAACAAAAACAGACCTTACAGTAGTAGGTAAAAGGTTCACAATCCCTGAGTGCCGCGGTCATTGGATCTGTGCGAGCGAGACGCATCATATTTACGCGAGAGTGACAGAGACAGGTAATAACAGGCCATTGTACGAATTTCTTCCTGCTCCGCGACCGGACTTTATACCGTAAAACTGAATAAACACAATATGTTAAATACACAGATGTATACTTATATTCACCTTTTTTCTAACATGCTACTCATATTTTATCCAATTTTAGTGATCCTCTCTCTTTATCTTAATAATTTTTCTGCTCATATTAACCCTTATATATCCTTTTCTTTGGCTATCCTCACCCTTTCTCGTTCCACTTTCTTTAGTTTCTCTGAAAAGCAACAAATAACTCTCTGGTTAAAAGTGGTGAACCACAAAATTGCAGCATGGAGTCTGATAGCTCGGCGTCAGACGAGGGCTCCACCAGGACGCCAGCTAACTCTTTGTACATGATGGAGAAGTCCAGCAAGAAGAAGCTGATTGTCAAGGATGGAAGGGTTGTTGGGCGAGCTAAAGCTCAGAGGAAGGATAAAGGTAAGGTACTAAATACATTTTTTTATTCTTCTATCTCTTAGAAGTTACCATACATATTACACCCAACCTAGTTTTGTGGCGGAAAATAGTCAAATTACTTGTCTCCCGTATCGACTAAACCCTAGGCCTCTGAGGCCACGGTACCTTATTGCGCTTACCTGGCTGAACATCAGTCTTATAAGGTAGTGGTCTATTGGCTCTTTGAAGCTCGCGCGGAACGCTACACACAGTACGCTCGGGTCTGGTTCTGATCGGGCAGCGAGCTACCCTAAAGCGCATGCCACACCGCCATCTAGCGGGCGGGCGAGCTAGGCGGATGGGCGAAGCGAACGAAGGGAACTATACAAACTAAGCGAAATATTGGCGAGCTAAACTATGGGGTTCACACCAAAAACAAAACATTACACTGCTATTCGAAAGACAAGCGTCAACTAGTCTACTCGAACGGGGAGGACGGGCGAACGAACCGGGGGCGCCAACGAGGTGAACGAGTAGCTTCGCTGGAATCGTCGGATATTTCATTAGCTTAGCTCGTTAGGTTAGTCGGTAGCTCGCGGTGTGAACCGAAGTATGTAAAGAGGTGAAACGATGTTCGCCCGCCTAGCCCGCCCGCCCGCTAGCTGGTGGTGTGTCCTGCGCTTTACTCGCCGTCCGCAGCACACCCAGCCTTGATTTGTCAATTTTTGAATAACACAATTATTATTTGTTTCCTGAAACACCGTTGTATAGCGTCTTGTCACCCAGCCACTATGTCAGCCATATAATATTTTTTATCATTTTAAAAATACTCTGTCTTAATTGAACATCCTTCATTGCAGTTGATTTTCAGAAAATTTTAACAAAAATTATCTTCATGAGTCACTAAACTATTTATTTATTCTTTATATAATTACAATTGCATATCGGAGGACTTAATGGTAAAAGCATTTTCTGCCAGTCAACCTTTTGGTAGTGCAGAGATGTGTGGTAGGTGATATACAACAATTTAGGAAGTTACGGGAAGTGGAGGTGTAAATCAATCTAAGTTACATACATAAATAACAGAAACATATATAATATATATATAATTGCGTTTTATTACATTAAACATAAACATTAATACACATATTTAAATAAATATAACTATTTTAAGTCAGAAAAATATAATCATAAACCAGTTCAGAGTTTATTAGTCTCTTCAATGAGTTTGCTTGGTTTTGCAAATAATCTAAGTTCCACTCTATATTTCAGGAAAGACCCGAATCACAGCGTACATGATGTGGGCGAAGGAAGCTCGCAATGAGCTGCTCCGCAAGCACCCCGACATGGACTTCTCGGCTATTTCCAAGAGACTCGGAGAGATGTGGTCTAATGTAAGATTATTTTAAAAGATAAAAACGGAGCTCCCTTTCCGCAACTTTTTTTTTTGTGTAATAGGTCGGCAAACGAGCCGACGGATTACCTGATGGTAAGCAATCAGCCCCGCCCATGGATACTCGCAACGGAGGAGTTACGAGTGCGTTGCCGACCTTTTAGGGATTTGGAGATTTAGGGATTGAGGAGGGATTGGGGAAGGGGAAGGATTGGGCATCCGGTAACCTCACTCACACGGCGAAACACAACGCAGTGGTTATTTCACGCCGGTTTTCTGTGAGGCCGTGGTATCACTCCGGTTGAGTTAACCCATTCGTGCCGAAGCATGGCTCTCCCACACTTTCATCATTTGCCTATACGTGCCCACTGCACAGCAAAGACTTCTTCTCACTCGGAGGTTTGACCATTAATCACCACTCTTACTCAATGTGGATTGGCGATTTCAAACTTAGCATAAGAATAACTCATAATAATAAAAAAAAAATTGTGTAAAATAAATACTTATAAGTCCAGGTTGCCTCACGATTTTTCGCTTCTCCTTATGTCAGTTTATTTTCTCGGCAAATATATCGTCACATCGCACCCACGCATGAGAAGCTTTGGAGGCTTAGAGGGTGCCTTAACCTATATGCCACTACAACCTTTCGTTGCCCTAATTTGAGACAACAATTAAAACGCCTTTTTCAATTTTTTTATGTGATAGATAGATCGGCAAACGAGAATACCGATTATCTGATAGTAAGCAATCAGTGGCGCTCAGGGTCAACCACAACAACAGAGGAGTTACGAGTGCGTTGCCAGCCTTTTGGGGATTAGGGATTATTAGATTGGATTGGCGGAGTGGAAGGATTGGGCCTCCGGCTAATCTCACTCAGACAGCAAAAACACAAGGCTGTGGTTGTTTCACGCCGGTTTTCTGTGAGGCCGTGGTATCACTCCGGTCGAGCCGACCCATTCGTGCCGAAGCATGACTCTCCCACACAAACTCAATATGATGGTGTCCAAATAACCTTAGAATGTACATATGACTCGGAAATGTCACACTGGTACTTGCCAGGTTTCAAAATTGCCCTAGTGCATAAGAAGCCTTCCTTCAGGCAACAACGACCATTAGGTGCCATTTACTACCTTAGCCACAGCAACGCGTGGCTGGGTCTGCTGGTATTATTTTATATCTTTTTTCAGGTTAATTACAACGAGCGGTATCTATGGAAGCGCAAAGCCAAACGCTTCGCTATGCAGAAGGAACAAAGCAATCAGTCGGCTAATAAGATTATTGTGTCTAATCCAAGTAAGTATATCTTTTATAATATTATTTTATACTGAAGGGGATTTTTGACGGGGGAATACCATCCAAATAAATTTTCCCGTCTGGGTAATGTGAAAGGGAGTGTCAGACTTAATGGCAACACTCCCGACATCGAGAATCGAGTGAACATCTCCGGCCATCTGTAGCGCGGGTCTGCGGACGGCAAGTAAGGGTAGCTCGCCGCCCGACCAGAACCAGACCCGAGTAGTTTCCAACTAGTCAAATTCAATACTTTTATCGACATGTCAAAAATTATATTTTTCTATGGAATTTGTATGAAAAACTAAGTTATGACGTCATTGTATTTTCGCGTCAAATAGCATACTTATTTCTTAATAATTAGGTAAAAATATCTTAAACTTAGTGTATCGATCGATCGATGAATAAAAGTATTGTTAATTTTCAATATTATAATATATACATAAAAATGTGAGAGTAGTCAATGGACGACTCTCCGTGCTCAACTTGCCAATTTTTCAGAGATAGCTCAAACAATGGAATAGCTAAATGTCTACGACAGATTGCTGTGCTTAGCAGGATACAGAATAAAAAAAAAATATTGTATTGAAATGTCGAATTAATTTTTTTTGACCTAGCAAACTACCCAATTATGAGTAATATACATCGAAATTATTAACTCCTTTTTTTATTTTTTACCAACAGGTCGACCTCTATCCTCAGCCGGTCCAGGTCGTCCTCCGAGGGCTCAGCCCCGGCCACAGCCCGCGCCAACGACACCGCCCTCTCAAGCGCTCGTGGTAAGCTATTTACTAAGAGTACCTTTTTAAAAACTTAAATCTAAGCAATAACCTAAAAAAATAATATTTTTCTCTCTATTTATCGAATGGCCACGTGATGTCAGTAATACCACGGTGTCACAAAATACGAATATGAAATAAACACACGTTATGTTTAGCCGTTTGAGTGAGGTGTTTCACGCCTGTATTCTGTGAAGCCGTGGTATAACTCCGGTTGAGCCGATCCATTCGTGGTAAACCATAACACTATACTAATATTATAAAGAGGTAAAAATTGTAAGTTTGTATGTAGGGGCTAATCTTTGGAACCGCTGGTCGGATTGCCAAAATTCTTTCACTGATAGATAGCTACAGTGTTCCTGAGTGCTATAGGCTATAAAACATCACGCTACGATCAAATGGAGCTGAGCAGTGGGTGAAACCGCGTGAAAGTAGCTAGTACTTAATATAAATAGATTTTTTAATAATGTAACTACCTAATTCTAGACTTGGTGATACTAAGTAGCATTCATCATCAGCCTATTAATGCCCACTGCTGAGCGAAGACCTCTTCTCATACGGAGAAGGTTAGAGCATTAATAACCACGCTTGCTCAATGCGGGCTGGCGATTTCAAACTTATAATTAGAAATTATAAGTCCAGGTTTCCTCACGATGTTTACCTTCGCCGTATGTCAGTGGTGTCTAAATAATCATAGAAAGTACATATAATTCAGAAAAAGTCACATTGGTACTTGCCAGGTTTCGGACCCACAACCTCATGCATGAGAAGCGGGCTCCTTAACCTAAGGGCCACCACGACGTGTGAAGTAGCATTAATTGTGATCTTTTCCCGTTCATTATCCTTGATGCGAATTTTCTTATTTCCTTTATCCAGCCGGCTTCAAGCACATCGGCTCCTAACTCCGGCATGTACCGCGTGACTGGTTGCGGAGCTGTGGAAGTGGCCGCCCATCTTCGGCTACTGGGGGAGAGCCTCGCCATTATTGGGGAACGCCTGAAGGAACATGAGGTGAGATCGTCAAAGATTTTTATATTGCTTCGTCTAGTGATATAAGGACTGATTTTTCAATAGTCAGATAAATGTTATCTGAGGAATAAAATTGTTGCTGTCACTGTCTTATACAAACATTCTGACGCGACAGCATCATAATTATTCCCCATGTAACTTTTATCTAGCCATTGAAAAATCGTCATCAATCATTTGACTACAAGGTTGGTGCGGTGGTTGCCGTGCAACGTGTCGCGGGTTCGATTCCCGCCCGGAACAACTCTTTGTGTGATCCACAAATTGTTGTTCCGGGTCTAGGTGTGATGTGTATGTGAAATTGTATGTTTGTAACCGCACCCACGACACAGGAAAAAATCCCAATGTGGGGCAACGTTTTTTTTTTTTAAGCTCTTAATCCTACAAATAATATAAATGCGAATTTTTTTAAGTATTATATTAGTTTTCATAATATATCTATGCTTCTTTTCTTATGTGATATGACTGTAACGGATAGACGGATTACCTGATGGTAAGCTATCGGTGTCGCCCATGGACACTAGCGTTGTTGCGAGTTCGTTGCCGGCCTTTTGGAGATTCAGGTGTCGGGGATTTGAGGTGGGGAAAAAGGATTGGTCTTCCGGTAACGTCACTCACATGGCGAAACACAACGATGTGGTTGTTTCACGCCGGTTTTCTGTGAGACGGTGGTATCACTCCCACACTTAAAATTTCGCGTTTATAATATTAAAAATATTTAGTTACAAATCCAGTTTTTATTATACTTACCTGCTAGCTGTTACCCCCGGCTATGATTTGCTCCAGTCATTTGATCTCTTACACTTTCCTACCTTTCGCCTATCTTACATACCCTACCCTATCCTTTTTTTGGTATTGGGTTAAAAAGTCCTCATGGAGACCCATCGCCCTCGGAGAAGGGCGAAGGGTACTGTCAGACTCTTACTGACTAAAAACCAACCCGGTGTTACTCCATTTACCCGTATGTCGGAGGGGCGGGTATCGCCGAAACATTCGTCGTATGACGGAACCCAACGTTCTTCTTCTAAACTGCATCCCCATCAATTCTCAACGGAATCGGTTCAGCCGTTCTTGAGTTACAAACAGGGTAACTAACGCGACTTTGTTTTATCTATACTAATATTATAAAGCTGAAGATTTTGTTTGTTTGTTTGAACGCGCTGATCTCAGGAAGTACTGGTTCGAATTGAAAATTTTATGTGTTCAATATACTATAAAACAACACGCTACGAGCCGCAAGCGACAACAGCGGGTGAAACTGCGCGAGAATATCTAGTATATTAATAGTTATAAAATCTCTTTCCCAGGGTCAAATAGCAGTATCAGGATCAGTATCGGTCCTTCTAGACACGCTCCTGTGTTCGCTCGCGCCGCTACTCAGCGTCTGCCGAGCGCTGCCAGCCATCGCCCCGCCCGCCAGCCTTCTACAAGACACGCTACACAACATCGCATACATTATGCCTGGACTTTAAACTATCAAGGAATAAGAATAAATAGGTTCCTTACGGGTAGGCGTGCTCCATCGTAGGTCGCTCTCGTGATGGCGGCCAAATGCCGAACCATTTTAAAGAAGCTATGACTATGCCTGCTCATTTGAAAAAACAGGACCTCCCTATGACTATTATTTAGTGATTATTGTGACATGTTCATATATAGATTCAGTTAGTTTTAAATCAAACACAGTTTTGAATATTTTTTAGGGCGGCAAAAGAGTAGTCGGATAACCTGATGGTAAGCAATCAGCGCTAAGTGACACCCGTAACACCAGAGTTCCCTGTGCGTTGCTAGCCTTTTGGGAATTGGGGAGGAGATTTTGGGGCTGGGGAATGGATTAAGCCTCCGGTAATCTTACTGGCACGGCGAAAAACAATGCTGTGGTTGTTTCACATCGGTTTTCTTTAAGGCCATGGTATCACTCCGGTCGAGCCGACCTATGCGTGCCGAAGTATGGCTCTTCAACACTTAAAAGTTTTACTTTATCCACATTGCTTTTTCGTTTTCAAACTTTTTTCAAGTTAGAGTAACCCCTAAACTCCTTACTCCCCGAAAGCCCGATTACGGACTTATACTCTCGTGAAAGTCAAAATCATTCCAACTAAACCATAAATAGGTACTTTTAGAACGTTAATTCTCTATTATTGAGACTGTCTATAGGTAGCGCTGACCTTACCATCAGGTAATCCGTCTGCTCGTTAGCCGTCTTATCCCATACAAAAAAAGATATATACCTAGATAAGTTTTAAAAAAATATCTTATGAAATCAGTAATATGTCAATGTGTTTTCTTTCTTACTAAGCATAACTTTTAAAAACAATAATGTTCTTACAAAATCATTTTATGTCAATTTATCTTCTGTGGTAGTACATAAGCAGTAAAACAAAGAAAAATGTGACAAAATAATGTACGTGTACCTATTGTGTAAATAAATGATTGATATCATAAATTAGTTTTTTATTTATTTTATATCCTACTCTACAAATAAGTGTAGTGGACCAAAAGCTACAGTAACGCCAACTACTGAGACGAAAACCTATAAATATATTGTGCTACACTAGGATTTTGTTCTGTGTTGTAAGTTTGTTCAAAAAGCATATATACGGTCGAATTGAGAACCATCCTCTTTTTTGGAAGTCGGTTAAAACAAAAATTAGACACATCAATCCTAGACCTGGAATAACAATTTGTTGATGATATAACAGAGTTGTTCCGGGCGGGAATCGAATCCACTAAACAACTGCTAAGCATGTTTGGAGGCTCGTGTGGGCTGTGAGAATCACCAAGGCCTCTTCTCATACGGAGAAGGTTAGAGCATTAATCACCACGCTTGTTCAATGCGGGTTGGCGATTTCAAACTTATAATAAGAAAGTCCAGGTTTCCTCACGATGTTTACCTTCACCGTATGTCAGTGGTGTATAAATAATCATAGAAAGTACATATAACTCGGAAAAAGTCACATTGGTACTTGCCAGGTTTCGAACCCACACGACTTTTCTGTATGTGGATGATGGTCTCTTACAGTCAAATACCCGCGCTGGACTCGAAAATATCGCTAAAGACTGCCTCAATAACACCGCGACGGGGAGAACAAAATCCAGCTATTGAAATACCAGCTTTTGCTCAAACGAGATCTGAAATCATAGCCGTCTATTAAGTTCAGTAACGTTCCGGTAAAACGAAAGGAGTCAGTTTGCCATCTTGGTCTAGTTCTAGAAAAAAACAAAAAATGTTATCAGTGAGGAAGCCAAAAATTACTGTTTTGCGCTGACGCGAATCTTGAAAGTTCTCGGGGTCTCTTCTCACGCTCAAAACCTTCTAAAGAGCTATCTAACCAGGATGTGGAGCACCTATCTGGGCTGATAGGGTGACAATAGGTGCGGTACGACGGAAACTTCTTCAGGGCCAACGTTTGGCTTTAATTGTAAGGCTTACAGGACAGTTAGCATTGAGGTCCTACCCGTGCTCGCGGGATTACTTCCCGTCGATCTTGAGGTGCAGCGACGAGCTGCTATGTATTACAACGCGAGACAAAACTTTTCTGCAAACTTTCTAGCACAACGCGATCGGAACAAAATTGCAAGATTATTTAAGCCACTTGCGGACATCTGGGATGAGCTTGTTACTGAATGGCAGTGTAGATGGGAATCTTCCATCAAGGGCCGCGACCGTTATCAGTTTTTTTTCTATTCGTACAAGAGCGTCTGTAGAAGATATTGTTGGAGGTGGATCATCACCAATATCTCACGGACCATGGCAACTTTAAAAGCAAATTATATTCATTTAACCTTCTTAACTCCCCATTTTTATGGAATAGTTAATAGGCAAACAAGCCGACAGATCACCTGAAGGTATGTGATCTGAGCCGCCCATGGACACTCACCAGAGTTGCCTTAAATGCCGAATTGCAATTAGATGAGCAGATGAGCAGTCCGCCAATCATATACTTTGAGAGTGTAGTCTCTGGCAATATGAACGTCACACTATTTTAGGTAGGTTTAATAGTGGGACAACCAATCTTTGGCAATTTTTATATGTGGTCGGCTCGACCTATTTGTTTAAACACATAACTACTGAAATTGACAGAGATAGATAAGTCTGGATTGACTAATATGCTACTTTTTTCACGATAAAGTGGTAAAGGTGAAACTGCTAACAGAAATTAACATATGGATGGAAAATGTAATAAAAACAAGTCTTATATTTCGAAGGTATTTATTTCAGTTTTATAGACACAACATTTTATTTACATAATAAAGGAACAATAAATCTATTGACTATTCAATTGTACAGACACTTAAATGCATGCAGTTGATTGTATACTAAAAGTTTTCAGGAAGATGGGATTCCATTACATTTTTCATTACTAAGACATTTAGACATATAATCTTAAACTTAAATAATATTTACGGCATTGCAACATTGTTATACGTAAATTAAAATAATTAAAATAACAAGCCCCGATGTGACACGAAACTATCCGAACATGCTCGAAAAGTGTAAGTACGTGTAAAAACGTAAATATTATTTAGGTTAAGATGAAATTGCTATTTATTTACGACTGACTTGACATCGATAGACACGAATATATTATTATGACTGATAATACTGAGAGATTGACATTTACAGTGCCGGCGTAAGGGCCACTGACACCCCGGGCGAAAATATTGTGGCGTTCACTTGAGGGAAGCAATATCAAGTGTTAGTTTTTGATGATAATATCGAGTCACTCCTCGACCACAAACCAAAAATCCATTGAAAAAATACGCAACAAAAATATGCATATGCAAAGAGCATCGAATACAGTTCTGAGAGTTTGCACCAGGAGAGGCAAGAGACTCAACTTCAGACCTTGGCGCCCTGGGCCATCGCCCAATCACGCCCCCCCCCCCCCCCCCTCTAACGCCGGCACTGGACACTTATTTTTAAGTGATTGACTGCCTACAGGTTGCTGTTGGGGGTTGATTCTCCGCTAACGCGGCCCCATGGCGTTCAACGTGTTAATAGCATAATTTGAATGTCGTGGTGGCCTTTATTATAACGAGACAGCTGACAAACGGTGAAGGAAAACATCTTGAGGAAACCTGGACTTATAATTTCTGATTAAAAGTTTGAAATTACCAATCCGCCTTGCAAGCATAGTGGTTAATGCTCAAACCTTCTCTATGTGAGATGAGACCTTTTCTCAGCAGTGGTTGCTTTAAGACTGTTGATTATACTATAAATCGATCTCGATAAATATTACAAACGCGAAAATGTAACTATCGATGGATATTTGTTACTCTTCTGCGCATAAAGTGCAGAATGATTTTTGAAACATTGGCACCGAGATAGAGATAGTTTAGAATAACATATAGGCTTTCTTTTCACCCGGGTAAGCTGGGGTGGAAACAGAATCTAATGGCAAGATATTGCTAGGCTTACACCCGGTTTCCGAAAGGCCGATTAATGTTAAAATCAATTTAATCTCTTGTCAAGTCATCTGATTGGTTGACTGAATTATCAACAACCAATCAGATGACTTGACAAGAGATTTAACAGGAGATTAGTTAATTTTAGCGTTGACAAGCCTTTCAGAAACCGGGTTCCGGGTGTAAGACAGATTTGAACAAAGATTCCAAATGATATGCGTTTTTGCTATAATTCTATGAGTCATGTATTTATTAGGGGACGATTTTATTGTTAGCATACACAGGTTACGGTACTAGGGCCATCAACAAAGAGGTAATTAAAAATAATACAGTTATTTATACTAATATTATAAAGAGGTAAAATTTGTAAGTTTGTATGGGGGGTAATCTTTGGAACCGCTGGTCGGATTGCCAAAATTCTTTCACTGATAGATAGCTACAATGTTCCCGGGTGCTATAGGCTATAAAACATCACACTACAATCAAATGGAGCCAAGCAGCGAGTGAAACCGCGCGGCAGTAGCTAGTTTACCTAATACTTAAGCAAGACTGGATTTTCTTGCGAACTATGGCCTATCTGTTCAAATGGTTAACTAAAGGTAAACAATCTTGTTTTTTTTGGGACAAGCCCTCTTCAACCTCCCTATACCCTAGCAGCTTGTGTAAGCAACGAAATAAATCGGACAAGACAATCTTGGTAAGTCCTTTTTATATTAAAGAGGTCGTATAAAATACATACAAAGATTATACAAATTAAGTTTATTAGCTAACATCGGGAAATTGTAAATACTTTAACATAAAATTTTTAGATAAAAATACATGCGAAGAGAAGATTGTTTACATTTAGTTAATTATGTAAAATGATAGACCATAGGTGCATATCCTGTGTCAATTTTCAACGACAGTTGTTTGAAAAACAAGAATTGAAAAATTTATTAATAGGTACAGTCAGCATCGAAAGTCGATGACCACATTCAAATTTTCAAAATCACTGTACATTATATCAATATCACCAGAAAGGGCACCAATATTGAATGAACGTCTTTAAAGTTCAAAATTAACTGAGTACTACTCGTCAAAGGTAACAGACTGAACACGAAATAAAATTCACACACAAATTAAAATTAGTATGTTATTTTTGTCTAAAATTTATTCAGAAACTTTAGACGAAGAATGTTATGCTTTTTTTACTATTATATTGTTAAGCTACTTTTGAATAGTAATGGTCACACATGCGCTTTTATGATTTCGTTTTTGGCACTTGTCATGTTGAGCGATTTAAGTACAGTAAGGTGTACAGCGATTTTGAAAATCTAAACGTAGTCATCAACTTTTAATGCTGACTGTACTTACAATTATTTTCTATTACATACATAATATACAAAAATATATTTCCAGACTCTCTCCATACAACATTATGTTGTCCCTAATTCTTACACTACCCCTGAATTGGTAAAGACAAAATTCGATTGTTGTTAAAAAAGTTCTATAATTCAAACTAATATTATAAATGCGAGAGTAACTCTGTCTGTCTGTCTTTTCTTCACGCCTAAACTACTGAACCGATTTGTATGAAATTTGGTACAGACATACATAGTTTGGAACTCGAGAAAGGACATTAAATTGTTTTTATCCCGAAAACCACGCGACAGCGGGTAAGTATAACCAAAAACATAAATGAAGTCACTATTCAACGCGAACGAAGTCGCGGGCAAAAACTAGTAGCTTTAATAAAGTTAAAAATGTATAGAATCAAATTACTGAATTAAGTCTGCCTTAATTTTTTTTAAACAATCTTGACACACGCTTAAATAATTATAAATACGGTCTACTTACAATTCAAAATATTCGAGAAATTCAGAACGAGTTACTTATACATAAGAGTCCCGTCGTGACTTGAAACTAGTCGAGCTATTCTCGTGAAAGCCGTTTCTTTAAGAAAACTCTTGATATGGCGGTATATAGCTTAAGACAAATATATCTATCATTAAATATATTGAAAAAAAATGACGTATTTACGTAAATTGCGCAGTGTCGCGAGTTCGATTCCTGCACGGAACAACCCTTTTTGTGATCCACAAACTGTTGTTCCGGGTCTGGGTGTTATGTGTATGTGAAATTGTATGTTTGTAACCGCACCCACGACACAGGAGAAATTTCTAATGTGGGGCAACGTTTATTCTTAGCAAAAAAAAAAAACTGAGTTAAGCTCGACTAGTTTCAAGTTACAACGGGACTCTTATTTATGAGCAGGGTGCGCGTCGCGGAGACGTTACGCTACCGACCGTCAGAGAACTGTGTCAGTTCACGTGAGTCAATCGTTATCTATACTTATATAATAAAGAGGTATAATTTTCATTGATAGCTGCAATGTTCCCGAGTGCTATAGGCTATAAAACAACACCGATCCGAGCAAAGGGGAATCCGCGCGAGACTATATAAAAAATTGTCCGACGCAGGAAATTAAGCAGCGATCTCTCAATTGGGATTAAAATTTTCGTGGTGTAGTATATTCACTTAAAAGCTATTAAGCTTAAGTCTTTTAATTTAAGACGTGGTTTTCAAACAAGACTTCTGTTTTTCACGACATCATTAAATTAATAGTTACATATATTATTAAAACAATTTTTTACAAGACTGCCAATTATAGACGGCTAAGATACAAGCAACAATATTAACCAAAATTTAAAACAGAATATGAATAATAATAATCTATTATCCGTATGACTACCATGATCGGCTATAGATGTCAAACAAAAAGGTCTATTTCGCCAATATCGAGCATAGCCGACCATAATTAAATCTATTTGGTTTCTCGTCTATAGCCGACCGTGGTAGTCAAACGGTTAATAGATTTTTAAGTCCGTCAGTGAGATGATAAAAAAATATTAGAAACGGGTGGGAGAGCCATGCTTCGGCACGAATGGTTGGCTCGACCGGAGTGATACCACGCCCTCACAGAAAACCGTCATGAAATAACCGCGGTGTTGTGTTTCGCCGTGTGAGCGAGGTTACCGGAGGCCCGATCCTTGTGAGTGGCCTGCCCTTAAGGGGAATTGGGGTTAAGGATGTGATATTGGGGATCGGGAGAAAAGGTAGGAGATTGGGCATCACTAACACAGTGAAAAATAAACTAAAAATCTGTGAGGCCATATTATCACTCCGGTCGAGCCAGTCCATCTGTGCTGATATATGGCGAGCTCAAAATAAAAAAATATGCTTCTGATCATCATCATCATCATCATCATCATCCCCAGCCTTTAGGAATTCACTTTTGGATTATAAACACACTCTCCATAAGAGGGTATTATTATAATCTCCACGATTGGGTAGGGGTGAGTCGCCTGACACTTTTTTATTATCACAGTGACAGACCAAGTTACTTTTCTACCCTGTCCAAATTCTTATCGGTCTAAAGGTTGATAGTACAACTCGGTTCCTTACTAGTTATAAGCGTGAACATTATTAAAGTCATATGCTAAAACAATTTCGAATCAAGGTTAAACAAAAATATATTTTATTTACCCAAACAAAATGCATGCGAAATAAAAACTAAAAAAAAATAATTACAAAAAACTAAATTTATACATATGTATGTAACTTTTCGAGAACTGTAATAAATACTGACAAAAAAACCTTTATAATATAACAATTCAAGAATTACAACAATCGACCCCTACAGTTTGGCGCTCCACAATAACAGTAAAGAACCTTTCCGGGGACCGAACCTACATCATAATTGTAGTTCCAAGTTAATTCCGTGCCCGCTTTTATATGGGATAATGCAAAGAACGCGACCCAAGGAAAGCGAGGGTCGTGTGTATCCACAAATACATTTTGAACGAAGACATTTGGACAACAGGAATGCTGGAAGAAAAACAATTTATTATTATTATTATATTTCACATCATGACACATACTATTTTTTTTTTCAAAACTAGCAACCCGCCTCGGGTGCAAGGTTAACACAAAATTTCTCCACTATTTAATGGATATTATCTTTTATAGTTATATAGGTAAGCGCATAACTCAACAACGCCTGGACCAATTTTGCTAATTGTTTTTTGTTGTGTTTGTTATTGTCAGGAGAAGGTTCTTATCAAAGAAAGTATTAGAAAAGCAGAGGGGAAGATTCGGAAAAAGTGACCCTTTCTTTCATCTCCGCTATTTAATGCCTGTAATTATACATATAAACCTTACTCTTCAATCACTCTATCTATAAAAAATCGCATCAAAATCCGTTGTGTAGTTTTTAAGATTTAAGCATAGGTACATAGGGATATAGGGGCAGAGAATGCGATTTTTTTAACTATTTACTCGCGTGAGATAATTTAGAAAAGCTGAGAGACTAACACCCGGTTTCTGAAAGGCTTGTCAACGCTAAAATTAACTAATCTCCTGTTAAATCTCTTGTCAAGTCATCTGATTGGTTGTTGATAATTCGGTCAACCAATCAGGTGACTTGTCAAGAGATTAAATTGATTTTAACATTGATCGGCCTTTCAGAAACCGGGGTTAGTACTAGGACACTATAATAAGCGGGAAAGGATTAATTTTTCAGTAATTTTATACTTACATTGAGATATCTGCCAATGTTCCCTTGTACCTTAGCGTCCATGATGTAGCAAGCCTCGTCCTTACCGAATAGAGTGCGCACGGACCTGGAACGCAACAAAAAATGTATTGTAAACTAGCTTCAGCCCGCGGCTTTGCCCGCATGGTATGTTGATAAAAAGTAGCCTATGTCCTATTCCGGAGTGTATCCTATGCCTGTGTCAAATTTCATTCAGAACCTTAAAGCCGTTTTGGCGTGATAGAGTAACATTTAAAAACATCACACTTGGATTTTCTCCTGTGTCGTGGGTGCGGTTAAAAACATACAATTCCACATACACATCACACAAAGAGTTGTTCCGTGCGGGAATCGAATCCGGGACACGTTGCGCGGCAGCCAGTCGCCCAGCCACCGCGCCAACCGTGCAGTCAAACATCGTTACTTTCTCATTTATAATATTAGAAAGATTATATAAGACAAGATTGGGCCTTTGAGATGATCAAAATAAAATACTCAAATTCGATACTTTTATCCATATGTCAAAAACGATACTTCTCTATAAAATTTGTATGAAAAACTCAGTTATGACGTCATAGTATTTTAGCGTCAAATAGCTTATTGATTTCTTAAAAACTTGCTAAATAATATCGAAAATTTAGTGTATCGACAGATCGATGATTGAAAGTATAGTTAGTTTTCATTATTTTATTGTATTGAAACGTTGAATTAATTTATTTTTGACCTGGGAAAACTACCTGATTCATATTGACGTTTTACCGCAATAACTATTAAAAAAAACTCATTTAAATTATTTATTTTTTGACAATCATTACTTAGGGCTGATTTTTCAATAGTCAGATAAATGTTATATGCGGAATAAAATTGTTGCTGTCACTGTCTTATACAAACATTCTGACGCGACAATTTCACACGCTGCTCGGCTCCATTTGATTGTAGTGTGATGTTTTATAGCACGCTGTGGTCCCGTGATCGGTAAAGACATACAAATCTATACTAATATTATGAAGAGGTAAAATTTGTCAGATTGTATGTAGGGGGTAATCTTTGGAACCGATGGTCGGATTGACAAATTTTTTTCACTGATAGATAGTTACAATGTTCCTGAGTACTATAGGCTATAAAACATCACGCTATGATCAAATGGAGCCGAGCAGCTAGTAACACATAATTATAACTTACTTGTATTTAGAAATGAATTCGCTAGCTCCCATCCCAGCTTGCGCCATAAATCTTGAGGGCTCTCTCACTGTGCAAAATATAACAAAATATATTTTTATAATTCATCACATCTCTTCTCATACGGAGAATGATTGAGCATTAACCACCACGCTTGCTCAAGGCGGATTGACGATATCAAACTTATAATTAGAAATTATAAGTTCAGGTTTCCTCACGATGTTTACCTTCACCGTATGTCAGTGGTGTCTAAATAATCATAGAAAGTACATATAACTCGGAAAAAGTCACATTAGTGCTTCCCATATTTCGAACCTTGAGGCATGAGAAGCAAGATATTAGCTGGCTTTTGGGATTAGGGTTTCGGAGATTTAAGGAGGGATGGGGGAGGGAAAGGATTGGTCCGCCGGTGCCCCTTACTCACACGGCGAAACACAACGTAAGCGTTGCTTCACGCCGGTTTTCTGTGAAGCCGTTAAGTAAGTTTAGTGATTTGGGTACCCCCAAATCTTTCCCCTCCCCTAATCCCTTCCCAAGCCCTAAATCTCCAAATCCCTAATCCCAAAAAGGTCGGCAACGCAGTCGTAGCTCCTATGTTGTTGCTAGTGTCCATGGGCGGCGCTGATTGCTTACCATCAGGTAATCCGTCTGTTCTTTTGTCGACCTATCGCATAAAGAAACTATTTGCAGCTGGATCAGCTTACCTTCCTCATCATCGCTAATGGTAATACAATCCTCATCAGCGTTACCATCCTTCGGTTCTTTCGAGGACTCTTTATCTTTATCTTTTTCTTTAACATCTTTTGTATCTTTTTCTTTTGAATCTTTTTCTTTATTGTCTTCTATGTTCGGTTTATCTTTATCTTTCTTCGTCTTCTCCCGTTTACGAAGACGTTTACTGTGAAAAAATTACATAAAAGTAAAATTTTACTTTTTTTTTATTATATTTCAAGCGAGAAAAACTTGTTATCATAACAACAAGCGGTAATAGAAGGCATTCACAAAGATTATTTTTGCCTGACTGTAGAACAGATTTATTTTTAGGGGTAAAAATCGACATCACGTCTCTTACTGACTAAAAACCCCCCCGTTCCTTCTCCTGCTCTGGGCCGAGATCGCGGTGCCTCATTGCGCTTACCCCTCCACCCCGGCTGAACATCAGCCCTATAGGGCCCCGTCTGTGGTGGTCTATTGGCTCTTTGAGGCGCGCGCGGAACGCTACGCGCTTAACGTTAGGATTTGGGGAGAGGAGGGTGGGGTTTAGTCATTAAGAGTCTGACTACGGTCGGGTCTGAGGGGTATTTTTAGTCAGTAAGAGTCAGACAATCCTATCCGATCCAACTTGGGCGCGAGCAATCATTTTATGATATTAGCCTCAAAAAAAAAAAAAACTGCGTCCCGCCCCGGCTTGACTCGGATACAATGCTGATACTAAATTACTCCACTATTTAATGGATGTTATTATCCATATAAACCTTCCTCTTCAATCACTGTACCTAATAAAAAAGCCGCACCAAAATCCGTTGCGTAGTTTTAAAGATTTAAGCGTACATATAGGGACAGAGAAAGCGACTTTGTTTTATACTGTGTAGTGAAATAATAATAATACTTAGAACACTTACTTAAACTCCATAACTCCTAACCCAATGTACCCGGGCCTGAAGTCATCGTCCTCTTTATCACTCTTGGAGGCGTTTTCCTCCTCCTCAGAGGTCGTGGGCTCCTCCTCATCGGATTCCTCATCATCCTTGCCTAGTTCCTTCTGTAAAAACAAGATCAAATTGTAATAATTGGCTTTTATTTTAAGTGTGGGAGAACCATGCTTCGGCACGAATGGGTCGGCTCGACCGGAGTGATACCACGGCCTAACGGAAAACCGGCGTGAAATAACCAAAGAGTTGTGTTTCGCCGTGTGAGTGAGGTTACCGGAGGCCCAAACCTTCCCCTACCCCAATCCGTTCCCTTTCCCAAAATATCCAAATCCCTAATACCTAAAAGGTCGACAACGCACTCGTAACTCCTCCGTCGTTGCGGGTGTCCTTGGGCAACGCTGATTGCTTACCATCAGGTAATACGTTTGCTCGTTTACCGACCTATAATACCATAAACAAAATGGGACGGATTACCTGATGGTAAGCAATCTGCTCCGGCCATGGTCACCTGCTACAGTTTAAACTGCGTTGCCATCTTTTGGGTATTTATTTTAGCCTTATAGGGAATTGGAGATTTTGGAATATACGGATGGGGAATGTTGGGGTTTATAAGGGATGGAAGGGATATTGGGATGGCGGATGGGGGGTATAGGGATAAGATTGGTTCGGAAACCTCACTTAGAGAAAGAAACCAACGCTGTGGTCATTTGAGGCCGTGGTATCACTCCGGTCGAGACGACGTGGCAAAACGACGCGTTTACAGAGAGCGCTGTAACCAGGTCTCAAGTCACACTTTTAATAGGGTATGTCAAACCCACAGGAAGAGTGGGGGATAGTAACGAATATCCTACCTTATCTAGTTTCTTATCAGCCTCCGGTATGTCCTCCTCGTATCCCTCCTTCATCTGTTCCACGACCTCAATGTAGTCCAGCTCGGCTAGATATTCGTCGCCTTCGTTTAGACCGTCCTGAAAAATATTTAATTTATGTAAAAATTAAAATAAAAAAAACCCCCGACACATAAGCTGCCTTTAAAAAGTATATTATACACAAAAAACATTGAAATCGTTTCATTCGTTCAGTACCTATGATGCCACAGACACACAGATAGACACGTCAAACTTATTAAACATTTTGTTTTTTGTGACGTACAAGTCATAACCTTTCATTTGATACCAAACTTGAACATATTTGCAGACATTCGGTTTTTCTTCCCCACTTTAACCCCCCATAACTTTTAAAAGTCTCAATCGATTTTCATGAAACCGCTCTAAGAACACTAAAAACTCGTAAAACACCTGTATAAAAAAAAACTAAATTGAAATCGGTTCATTCGTTCAGGAGTTATGATGCCACAGTCAGTCAGTCAGTCAGTCAGTCAGTCAGTCAGTCAGTCAGTCAGTCAGTCAGTCAGTCAGTCAGTCAGTCAGTCAGTCAGTCAGTCAGTCAGTCAGTCAGTCAGTCAGTCAGTCAGTCAGTCAGTCAGTCAGTCAGTCAGTCAGTCAGTCAGTCAGTCAGTCAGTCAGTCAGTCAGTCAGTCAGTCAGTCAGTCAGTCAGTCAGTCAGTCAGTCAGTCAGTCAGTCAGTCAGTCAGTCAGTCAGTCAGTCAGTCAGTCAGTCAGTCAGTCAGTCAGTCAGTCAGTCAGTCAGTCAGTCAGTCAGTCAGTCAGTCAGACAGACAGACAGACAGACAGACAGACACGTCAAACTTATAACACCCCTCTTTTTGCGTGGGGGGTTTAAAAATGTTTTTTCTCCTCAATGGCTGAAGAGGAAGATCAATTTCAATTTAACGTGAGTTTGACGTGTTTTTTATCTTGATATTGACTTGATGTCTTCGTCTTTACTTCGACTCCGACATTGGTTTTGACTTCAAAGATTAAAGTCAAAATCACATATTGCCTTTGAGTTTGATTTTCGCATCGACTTAGACTTTGTGACTTCGAAATTAATCTTGATCTTGATATTGACTATCGTTTTTATCGTATTACACATTGATTTTTACCTAACCACTTGTAAATTATAAGGTACTAGCTTTGTTTTTTACTTGTTAACGTTTATTGCTAATGTTCACAGGGGATTATGTAGCTTCCCAACAGCGAAAGATATTTTCAAATCGGTCAAGCAGTTTCTTAGCATATTCAATTCAAACAAACAAACAAAAAGAAAAAAACAATCAAATCTTTCCTAGTTAATTATAGTAGATTTTTTTATATTCCATTTTTATATATATGCACTAGTTGTACCCCACGGTTTCACTTACTAAGATTTATAGCCAATTTTAACTAGGGATAGCGTAGTTTCCCAACAGCGAAAGATATTTTCAAATCGGTCAAGCAGTTTAAAAAAAACAAAAAAACAATCAAATCTGTCCTAGTTAATTATATTAGTTTTTTTTTCTATTTTCTATTTATTTCAATACTTAATCATACTCATATAACATAATTATACATTATTTAATTAATGTACACAAAGTTTCAGTGTCGTGTTTCGCTGACTGGTCTCACGTACCTGGCCACGAAACCGGCGGTACATAAAACCTTACGGCCAAAACACGTCTTTGAGAAACTTCTCAAGTAAAGAAGTATATATTTATCTTACCAAGTTGGCTGTAGCGTCGGTGAGTAGATTCCCAGCGTAGACGCACAGGAACGCCCCCTTGGGTACATCGTTTAGCGCACGTATGCCCCAACCACGGTTCAACGTTTTGAATACCTGATAAACAAATGATTATTATTTATTTATTCAAATGAGGATATTTTCAATTATGTAATATACACATTGTCCAACAAGCCGTGATAGGTCGGCAACGGGCAAACGGATTTTCTGATGGTAAGCAATCAGCGTCGCCCATAGACACCCGCAACGACGGAGGAGTTACGAGTACGCTGTCGACCTTTTGGGACTTACGGATTTGGAGACTTTGGGAATAAGGGGGGATTGGGATAGGGGAAGGATTGGGCCTTCGGTAACCTCACTCACACGGCGAAACACAACGCTGTAGTTGTTAAACGCTGGTTTTCTATGAGGTCGTAGTATCCCTCCGGTGCCGAAATTTGGTTCTCTCACACTTTGTGTGTATTGGATCAAAATTGTTATTGTCTAGTTCTTATTATTTATTTAATAAATAATTATTAATTTATTTAATAATTATTAATAAATAATTCATTTCAGGCATTTATCACTATACTATCAGGTACTATCACTAAAAACTTCACATTATCAAACATTTTATCGAGAAACAGACCTTAAAGCTACACTAGCGCCCTCTTTTGACGCGAAAACTATATTACGTAACACTTACTTGTAATTTGAGTTGTAATGGATGCTGTGCTACCCTGTTCAAACAGGTATGCTTGCATTTACACCTGAAAGATAAAAGTTACGTGATTTATACATATTATATCAATAGTGGCCAAAAGCCGCTTCCAATCTTAATCAAAGTCGAATAATTTAAGCTGCTAAATTCTTCCTAATCCCTAAATCTCCAAAACCTTATTGAGGGACAGTCTTAACAGTGTACAAGCTATACTGACAGACAAAATTGATGGGCTGTTTATTAGACACTGGGCAAGTAGACTTTGCGTACCCAGATAGGAAATGCCCGATTCATCTAATTTTTACATATGATTTTGACGTGTAAAAGTGGTGTTTTATGGGATATTTGCAAAAACAAATTAATTGTTAAAAAATAAAATAAAAAAAAACATTACCTGGAATTGCACTCATATATCCCGGACGGCAATGGCTCCGGCAATCGTTTATACACGTAGCCGACATTAGGCCCGTCCAGGCCTATCGTCCGGGCACCTTCAAGCGTCATCTTCCAGCAAGCGCACTTCGATTTATCCTGGGAAACAAAATCATCATCATCATCATCAGCCCATAAGTGCCAACTGCTGAGCAAAGACCTCGTCTCACACGGAGGAGAAGGTTTGAGCATTAATCACCACTATTGCTCAAGACGGATTGGCGATTTCAAACTTATAATTAGATTATAAAGTCCAGGTTTCTTCAAGATGTTTTCCTTCACCGTAGGTCAGTGGTGCCTAAATAATCATAGAAAGGACATAGAACTCACACGTCACATTGGTACTTGCCAGGTATCGGACCCTCATGCATGAGAAGCGGGCGCCTTAACCTCCGGGCCACCACGACATGTTTTATGTTAGCAGAATTGACTAATTTTGATCCCAACGTGGCGTTTTGGAAAACGCAGTTATGCAATATTGGCGTAATTACTCCGGTATTAGCAGGCCTGCAGGGCCAAGATAGCCCTCTATCTTAAAAGACATTTCGTTACCTCTTTTTTTTCTCTCGCCCAGTGTATGGCGAGAGGGAGTTTCGGATTCTTACTGACTAAAACCCCTTCCGTTCCTTCTCCTGCTCTAGGCCGAGGTCTCGGTGCCTCATTGCGCTTACCCCTCCACCCCGGCTGAACATCAGCCCTATAGGGCCCCGTCTGTGGTGGTCTATTGGCTCTTTGAGGCGCGCGCGGAACGCTACGCGCCGTACGCTCGGGTCTGGTTCTGGTCGGGCGGCGAGTTACCCTTACTCGCCGTCCGCAGACCCGCGCTTACGGTGGCCGGAGATCGTTTCTCGATCCCCGACGCCCGGAGTGTCGCGTGCTACGGCGGCTGGGGTGTGAGGATGATAGTTCCCAGGGCTGGAGGGCTTGATGTTTTTTGAGATTGCTTTCATCAGGGGTTATCAGTTCCTCTAACACCGCACCATGGCCTCGACTAAATTTACCTACCTTGAACTCGGATTCGATTAGGTCATTTTGGCCGAGTTTCAAAAATTTTTTTTTTAATGGTATAAGTCGGCAAACGAGCAGACGGATTACCTGATGGTAAGCAATCGGCGCCGCCTATGGACACCCGCAACACCAAAGGAGTTACGAGTGCGTTGCCAGCCTTTTGGGGATGGGGGTTGCGGATATAAGGATTGGGAAGGAATAGGGGAAGGGGAGGGATTGGGCCTCCGGTAACCTCACTCACACGGCGAAACACAACGCTGTGGGTTGTTTCACGCCGGTATTCTGTGAGGCCGTGGTATCACTCCGGTCGAGCCGACCCATTCGTGCCGAAGCTTGGCTCTCCCACGCTTAAAATTTCAATTTCAAAATTCTGCAATGTTTAAGTCCAAAACTGATCTGACCCTAAATAAATGATTTGATTTTGAAATAAATGTAAGATCAACATCTCAGACTCACCTGACAGTCATCAGTACAATCGCAGCCACACAGGAACTCGGGGTCCAGATTGAGTGGGACCCCAGCTGTGGGGGTCCGTTCAGTATTGTACGAACAGAACTCTGGCAGAGACTCGTCATAATAGTTCACACACGGTACTGGGACATTCTCCTTGCCATGCGATAGATCCTGGGAGAAAATAAATTCAATATCAGATCACATCGTCAGCCTAAAAGGATCCACTACTGAGGCCTCTTCTCACACGGAGAAGGATTTAGCATTAATCACTACGCTTGCTCAAGGCGGAATGGTGATTTCAGACTTATAATTTACTTTCGGCCCTCCCCGAAAACCCCCAAATATCAAATTTCAGCGAAATCGTTAGGGCCGTTTCCGAGATCACATGCTTTTTCAAGCAATCAGCGCCATCTGCCGGGCTGATTTGTGAATCTAAACCATCCAGGGCGCGACTCAAATGCATACGGAAAACATCATTTAAATCGGTCAAGTCGTTTAGGAGGAGTTCAATGACATACACACGTACAGCAGAATTATATATATAAAGATTTCATTTCATTTCATTTTCATTTAAAAAAAAATACGTTGCCCCACACTAGGATTTTCTCCTGTGTCGTGGGTGCGTATATAAACATGCAATTCCATAGGTATACACATCACACCCAGACCCAGAACAACAATTTGTGGATCACACAAAGAGTTGTTCCTTGAGGGAATCGAATTCGCGACACGTTGCGCGGCAGCCAGTTGCCCAGCCACCGCGCCAACCGTGCTTAGTCTATAAAGATTAAGATATTACAAGTCCAGGTTTTCTTCCTGAAAGACCGGCATCGCATTCCTAGCTACTATATGATGTTGCGGGTTTCCATTGGCGATGCTGATTGCTTTCCATCAGGTAATCCGTCTGCTCGTTTGCAGACTTATAATATAAAATACACAGTTCTGTCTATTAAAGTGACATACACAAGACAATGAGTACTTTCAATTTTATAATTAAGGCTGATATTTCAATGGTTATACAAAAGTTACCTGGGGAATAATTATGATGCTGTCGCGTCACAATGTTTGTATAAGACAGTGACAGCAACAATTTTATTCCTCAGATAACATTTATCTGACTATTGAAAAATCAACCCTAAGACAAAAGGAAAACTGTCTTGAAACAAGAGTTATATATAAGTGAGTTATGATTTTATAAATGGTAAACTTACTTTTTTAAACTAGGCAAAAAAAGGAATAAAACTATTTAAATCCAAATTAATATTATAGATGCGAAAGTAACTCTGTCTGTCTGTCTTTTCTTCACGCCTAAACTACTGAACCTATTTATGTGTAATTTGGTACAGACATAGTTCGGAACTCGAGAAAGGACATAGGATAGTTTTTAAACCAAAAATCCGCAGCAAGTCACTATTACACGCGAACAAAGTCCCGAGCAAAATCTAGTTCAATATGCATTTCATAAATCAATATTTAAATATTAAAATGTACTTTAAAATGTATTTGGAAGTAAAATACGGTAGTTTCCAACTAGTCAAATTCAATACTTTTATCCAAATGTCAAAAACGATACTTTTCTGTGAAATTTGTATGAAAAACTGAGTTATGACGTCATAGTATTTTTGCGCCAAACAGCTTAATTATTTCTTAAAACATAGCTTAAAAATATATAAAACTAAGTGTATCGATAGATCGATGAATAAAAGTATAGTTATTTTTCAATATTTTATTGTATTGAAACGTCGAATTAATTTATTTTTGACTTAGGAAACTACCCAATTATAGTGAGCATGAGCGTGTGGGATTAAAGCCCGGTTACCGAAAGCCGAATCAACTAACTAGGTGTCAAATCTCTTGTCAAGTCATCTGATTGGTTGTTGATAATTCAGTCAACCAATCAGATGACTTGAAAAGAGATTAAATTGATTTTAACATTGATCGGACTTTCGGAAACCTTGTCTAAGTATTAAAAGGATAGAAACTTACCTTTTTCCCCACCAAGCATTTGTTAAGCACAAACTCGGCGAGGCAGTGTGTCGCGGGCTGGAAATCGAACAGGTCTACCGGCAGGTCCGAGTCCGTCGCGCGCAGGTACCGGTGCAGCTCGCTCAGACTGCGCAGGCGGCGCCCGCATGGCGCGCGGTACATGACTTCCTTGTGCCCTTTGAAACGGACTATTTGTCTAGAAGAGGAGAAATATGCTTATAAAATATGGTTAAGGTTGTCAGAATTAATATTCAGTCTAATGTCAATGTCAAATGTCAATGTCAATGTCAATTTCAAATGTCAATGTCAATGTCAAAATCAAAGTAAAAAAAATTCAAATAACAAATATCAAGATCAACATCAAATATCCAAAATTAAGTTTGTAATGTCGAAAGAAGAATCGAATTCCATTGAGACGGTACACGTCATCATCATCTTCCTGCCCTTGTCCCGTTTTATTTGGGGTCGGAGCAATATGTTTTTTTCTTCCATTCTGTCCTGTCACCCGTCACGCTATCACTAACTCCTCTGTCTTCCATATCACTTCTTACACAATCCATCCATATTTTTTTGATCTCCCTCTCCATCTCCATCCATCCACATTTATACTCATGGTACACGAAAAGTCAAAATTAAAGTGAAATTTGGACATCAAACGTCAAAGTAGAAAATATAATCATCATCATCATTATCATCAGCCTATAAGTGCTTACTGCTGAGCAAAGGCCTCTTCTCATACAGTGAAGGTTAGGGCATCACCACGCTTGCTCAATGCGGGTTGGCGATTTCAAACTTATAATTAGAAATTATAAGTCCAGGTTTCCTCATGATGTTTTTCCTTCACCGTATGTCAGTGGTGTCTAAATGATCATAGAAAGTACATATAACTCGGAAAAAGTTACATTGGTACTAGCCAGCTTTCGAGCCTACATCCTCATGCATGAGAGGCGGGCTCCTTAACCTCCGGGCCACCACGACACTACGAAAATATAATCAAGTGCGCTAAATAAGGAACAATTAAAAAGTGCCACTGACCTTTCCCATCCACTCAGCAGTGGTTTTGCTAGAGGATTGTAGGTTCGAAGCTCTTTCAGTGTAAGCACGTCACTTCGCTTGCATTTCGGACTGCATTTATGGGGAACCATCTTGTACGGTTTCACAGCATTCTTTGGTGTGTAGTACTGACAATAAAAAATATTAATAATTAGTAAGATCTTATCACGAAAAAAAGCTTTTTACATACCCTGTAGCGACATCTATCGCACAATAATAACAACAGCACCAATCACGTGCAAGATTCTACAATCAAATCCCTTAACCGGAGGCCCAATCCTTCCCCTCCCTCAATCCCTCCTCAATCCCTAAATCTCCAAATCCCTAATCCCTAAAAGGTCGGCAACGCGCTCGTAACTCCTCCGTTGCGAGTGTCCATGGGCGGCGCTGATTGCTTACCATCAGGTAACGCGCTTGCTCGTTTGCCGACCTATACCATAAAAAACATTCAGATTAAAATTTTTCAAAAAATAATAATAGTAATAATTGTGTAGGACTTACCACAACTCTACTAGTCACGGCATCGTTGTTGGAGGCGACCTGTTGAGGCGGCAGGACGTTCGGTACTGCGGTCGACTTCTTAGCTACTGCACGTTGACGACGTATCTCCTAGGAACCAGGGCCCAAAAAATATTATTATTACGAACATAACTTGACTTGCCGTGCTTTTTGATTACCAGTTATCTGCGTTCTGACAATTTGAGTACTTGCGCGACCCACCCAAATTTTCTTTTGATCGGTATTGTTCGTCGGACAACTCAACAGCACTAGCTATATGGTTGCAAACTGACACTTGCGTGCCTGTCTTGAGAACGGGTCCACTTAAACTGGTGTGGTTCTTTCCTCAAAAGACCACTACAGAATGAACTTGCACGATTCTCTCACATTATGTTATTTTTACATTGTCTGGACTTGAAAAGAGACTGACCTCTGAGTTTGTTTCGGCATTTCTTCTCAGAGTTGTCAGATAGGAAATGCCGGTGTCATCTAGTTTTTCACATATAAATTGACGTGTAAAAGTGCCGTTATGGCCTATTTGCAAAAATAAATTCATTGTTTCATTGAGAGACAGGGAACCATTGGTGCGTGAATTTAAGTTAAATATGTTAAATGTGGGTAGTTTTACAACTGTTCTCTCAAATTCAACTTCTTCTGCAGCAATTGCCTTGTCTATACTAAAATTATAAAGAGGTACAATTTGTAAGTTTGTATGTAGGGGGTAATCTTTGGAACCGCTGGTCGGATTGCCAAAATTCTTTCACTGGTAAGATAGCTACAATGTTCCTGAGTACTACAGGCTATAAAACATTAACACTAAGATCAAATGGAGCCGAGCAGCGGGTGAAAACGCATGAGAGGAGCTAGTTTAAGATATCCATGCATCAGTGAGACTTAAGAGTTTTTGATATGGTAGATGTAAGTAAATTGTCCTAACGGGGTTGACATGTGTTAGAATAAAAGCCCCTAAAACTACAGATGAAAAAAAAGTGACTTTCACGCCGGTTTTCTGTGAGGTCTTGCTATCATTATGGTCGAGCCGACCCATTCGTGCTGCAGCAAAAATACTAATTATCTTACATTAATTAGTATCAAATCCAAATCTTCATATATATATATATATATATATATATATTGCTTTTAATATGGTTACTAGCGACTCTGCGAAGCCGGGGTTCGCTCATGTAATATAATACTAAATTTCTCAACTATTTAATGGATTTCATTATCCATATAAACTTTCATCTTCAATCACTCTCACTCGGTTTCCAAAAGGACAAGTCATCTGATTGGTTGACTGAATTATCAACAACCAATCAGATGACTTGACAAGAGATTTAACAGGAGATTAGTTAATTTTAGCGTTGACAAGCCTTTCAGAAACCGGATGTCTACCTATTAAAAAACCGCATCAAAATCCGTTGCGTAGTTTTAAAGATTGAAGCATACATAGGGATAAAGGGACAGAGAAAGCGACTTTGTTTTATACTATATACAGTGACTAAATAAAAACTGACCTCGTTTTGTTGTTGTTCTTGTTGTTGGACCTGTGTCTCCTGCCTGTTCTTGGACTCTTGCTCATCAGACCTCGTGTATTCTACATACGGCATGTTCGACTGCAAAAAAAAAAAACAAATATGGAAATCTGTTACAAATACACTGAGTTTTTCGTAGATAACCTATGCCACTTTTCGTTTCAAATTTTATTAATCAAAATAGAGCTTACAAAATAACCAAATGTTACGTCTTTATTTGGACTGTTTAATAGATGGTTTAATGTGGAGACCACGTCTAGGCAAAGGTAGTGTAGGGCGCCCTCCAGCTAGGTGGACTGATGATATATGCAGAGTGGCTAGCAGTGGTTGGATGAGAAGAGCTGAACATCGAGCTCAGTGGGGTGTGATTAGGGAGGCCTATGTCCAGCAGTGGACGATATCAGGCTGATGATGATGATGAGGTTAGCACAAAATCATTCGAGCAGTTATTTACAGCAGCATTTATTTCGTAATGGAGAACGTTGCAAGACTCCATTATGTAGGAATACTGTTTAATTGTTTTTATATGAGTGCACGGATGGCCTGGTTGCTGGGCAACTGGCTGCACAGAGAGAGTAAGAGAGTAAGAGAGAGAGAGAGTGAGAGAGAGAGAGAGAGTGGGGGGGGAGAGAGAGAGAGAGAGAGGGGGAGGGGGGGAGAAACGGTCTCAAAACGTAACTTTGTAAAGTATGTGTAGGTATGTATCTTATGAGTAATTATTATATGTATATTGTACACTAGACTGCTCATTCCCAGGTTTCTTTTCAATAATTATAATATTACAACGAAAAGTGGCATTGATTTTTACATACAAACGAGTACTAGTGGACCCTCCCCTAAGACCCCCACATATGAAACTTCAGCGAAATCGTTAGGGCCGTTTCCGAGATCACATTTATATTGAATCAATCAGCGCCATCTGCAGGGCTGATTTGTGAATCTAAACCATCCAGGGCGCGACTCAAATGCATACGCAAAAATTCATTTAAATCGGTCAAGTCGTTTAGGAGGAAATCAATGACATACACACGTACATCAGAATTATATATGTAAATACTTATAAAAAATAAACTTACCCTAGGTTGAGCTTTACTCCTGGGCATGGGTCTAGGGCGATGTCTCTCAGCAGCTCTGAGCTCAAGGTACAATGGAGCCAGGCGGGTGGACCCTCGATATATCCATTCCCTTCGTCCATCGCCCACAAACACTACTTGAGCTAGAGAAGCGTCCACTCGAGCGACGCGAGATGGCCACCATTTTCCTAAAAAGAGAATAACAGTAAAATTTATTATATTTTTTGAGTTTCTTTCTTTTCCTCGAGGGAAATGTCTTCAAATGACTTCACCAACCCAGGGTATGGTGAGAAGAAGTGTCAGAGTCTTACTGACTCTGGCTGTTCCGTGATAAAGGTTGCGGGACAAGCGCAGTAATGTACTGAAGCCCCGGTCTGGTGTAGGATCAGGATGGTTTTTAGTCAATAAGAGTCTGACACTCTCGCTCGTCCCAGCTAGTGCTGAAGAAGTCATTTGATTGTTATAGACCCTTTATACCCCTGTAAGATGCCGGAACTGGCTAACCCCCCACCCCCATTTCTGACCCTACATGGTAGCATATTGTGCTTGCCCCGCCATCCCGGCTTGAGTTTTATACCTAAGCCTTTTTTTGTGGGGGGGGGGGGGGGGGTTGTCAACAATTTTGTTTTCTCGCCCAGTGTTAGGGAGGAAGGAGTGACAAACCAGAACCTTAGACTACGTTGGCCTACGTCTACGACTGTCTGACACCAGGTTGTGCCACACGAACCGTGGTAGCTAAACAGTTTGTACAGTAAGTTTGGACAGATAATATATTTATTTTGCCACTTAAATAAATCTGACAATAAGGAATCATCATCATCAGTGTCAAGTGCCCACTGCTGAGCAAAGGCCTCTTCTCACACGGAGAAGGTTAGAGCATTGATCACCACACTTGCTCAATGCGGGTTAGCGATTTCAAACTAATAATAAGAAATTATAAGTCCAGTTTTCCTCACGATGTTTACCTTCACCGTATGTCAGTGGTGTCTAAATAATCATAGAAAGTACATATCTCGGAAAAAGTCACATTGGCACTTGCCAAGTTTCGAACTCATACCCTCATGCATGAGAAGCGGGCTCCTTAACCTCCGGGCCACCACGACATACACAATACACGACATAAACACACGACAATAAGGAATGCTTAGTGCAAATGTGCAGGTTGTGACTAGTACTACTAAATGAGTAAATCGTTATTTTATCAGTTTATATTTTAGGCTTAAAATTTTTCTGTCAAATTTTATAACATTAGAATGTTTTTGGGGCTTATTGAGCACCCCTATTGAGTTCCAAACTACAGAAAGCTATTTTTACAAGTAAAAAAAAAACCCACCATTCCACTCAGTCTTCAGATTCTGTCCCTCGTGAAGCCTCACCATTGGCCTCTCGGGGTACGCAAGGAGGTACTCCCTGACGAACTCCCTGGAGAAGGGATGCACCTCCTCCCAGACGAGGGGAGAGCTCTCGCACACGAGGCGCGTGTGTTGATGCTGGACGTATTGAGCGTACCCGTCGTCGAAAAACACTAGGTACCTTGGGGGCATGGGGAAAGGGAGATTAGCTTATAACCTTTTTTTTATTTTAAAGAAATTGGCGCGGTTTTATTGGTCTCGGGCGATCCTTATGGAAAGCAACCAGTGCTCCCGACCTCTGCCTGTCTTTAGGGACTTTTTTTGTGATAGGTCGGCAAACGAGCAGACGGATTACCTGATGGTAAGCAATCAGCGCCGCCCATGGACACCCGCAACGGAGGAGTTACGAGTGCGTTGCCGACCTTTTAGGGATTAGGGATTTGGAGATTTAGATATAGGCATTGAGGAAGGATTGGGGGAGGGGAAGGATTGGGCCTCCGGTAACCTCAACTCACACGGCGAAACACAACGCTGTGGTTGTTTCACGCCGGTTTTCTGTGAGGCCGTGGTATCACTCCGGTCGAGCCGACCCACTCGTGCCGAAGCATGGCTTTATGTTTCACCGGGTGAACGAGGTTACCGGAGACCCATATACGAAACAAATCAAAACCAAAAGGCTGGCAATGTACTCGTAACATCTTTGTTGTTGCGAATTTCCATGGGCGGCGCTGATTTTTCTTTTTTTTTGGGAGGAATATCATCAAATCACGTCTACCGCCCAGGGCCGGCTTACTGACTAATAACCCCCCTGTTCCTTCTCCTGCTCTGGGCCGAGGTCGCGGTGCCTCATTGCGCTTACCCCTTCACCCCGGCTGAACATCAGCCCTATAGGGCCCCGTCTGTGGTGGTCTATTGGCTCTTTGAGGCGCGCGCGGAACGCTACGCGCCGTACGCTCGGGCCTGGTTCTGGTCGGGCGGCGAGCTACCCTTACACGCCGTCCACAAACCCACGCTTACGGTGGTCGGAGATCATCTCTAGATACCCGACGCTCAGAATGTCGCCTACTGCGGCGGCTGGGGCGCTGATTGCTTACCATCAGGTAATCCGTCTGGTTGTTTGCCAAAAATACATAACGCATGTTTAATAGAAAACAGAACTAACCCATAAAAGAGGGTGTTACAAAATTAAACCTTATTATTGAAACACCAGCTACTCTCACGCGGTTTCACTCGCTGCCCGGCTCCATTTAATCGTAGCGTGATGTTTTATAGCCTATAGCACTCAGGAACATTGTAGCTATCTATCAGAGAAAGAATTTTGGCAATCCGACCAGCGGTTCCAAAGATTACCCCCTACATACAAACTTACAAATTTCTTCATCATTTTAGTATAGATTCTTTGATAAAAACCTTCTCTTGACTATATCAAACACAATAAATAAAAAATTGTCAAAATTGGTACAGGCGTTGTTGAGTTTTGCGCTTACAGACATGTGAATAGAAGATAGGATTAACTAAAGCATGAACTTACCTATAATTATTGACTGGATTTGGTATTTCGGCGACTACGCCCGAGTAATAAGACTCCCGCTTGTTCGAGTCTTTGAACAAAGCTATTAGACGAGTACCTGTGAAGACAAACAGACAAAACAATATTTAATAATACAAATTCAAATTCTTTATTAGCTTATTAAGGTATAGGTAACGGAATAAGACTTCTTTGTTAACCGACTAACCCCCGGTTTCCGAAAGGCCGATCAATGCTGAAATCAATTTAATCTCTTGTCAAGTCATCTGATTGGTTGACTGAATTATCAACAATCTATCAGAGACTTGACAAGAGATTTAACAGGAGATTAGTTAATTTTAGCTTTGACAAGCCTTTCAGAAACTAGGTGTGAGACTTCTTTGTTAGCCGACTAAGACTTCGTTAAACAAGTAATACTTCATTGCTTATCTGGTACTTAAAACTACTTCGTTAAAGATTAATCACTTTTCGTCAGTCTGGTAAGACTCTTTCGTTAATTCAGTATGAGTTCTTTGTAAGTCGACTAAGACTTATTCGTAAATCAACTGATACTTCATCGGTAATTGAGAAAAAATGTGTCGTTTACGTTTAAAAATTTTTCGTTAGTCTGGTAAGACCGCTTTGTTAATCTAGTAAGACTTTTTCGTTAATTTAGTAAGACTTATTTTGTAGCCAACAAATACCTTTTCATTAATTGAGAGCAACTGCTTCGTTAAATATTGAACATTTTTCGTTAATCTACTTCTTCTTCTCCGTTAATAAGATGAAACTGCTTCGTTAATGAGCAAAATATTTTTTGTTTAAACTAGTAAGACTTCTTCGCTTACAAAGTAAGACCTATTCCTTTACCGAGTAAGACTTCATCACTAATCAAGAAAAATTACTTAACGAAATATCCGTTCACAGATATTTAGCCTTTCAATCAAACGACTAGCCATTCACGCCACTCGTTGGATGCCTAAATTCAACTATATGGCTACGACACATACATAACGCATTCGTTAGGAAATAAATACTATTATTTAAACGTTCATCAACCCTAGCATTTTCTCCTGTGTCGTGGGTACGTTTACAAACATACAATTCCACATACACATCACACTCAGACCCGAAACAACAATTTGTGGGTCACACAAAGACTTGTTCCGTGCGGGATTCCAACCCGCGACACGTTGCGCGGCAGCCAGTTGCCCAGCCACCGCGCCAACCGTACAGTATATAATGTAAGTAATTATTATAATGGACTTGTAATTATTTACCTATAGTCATCCTGACATCAGCGGGCTCTGAGTACGCTATGCAACGAGCTGGCAATATCTTCCCTCCCGCCTTGGCTTTATGGTCGAATTTCACTCGACACAAAGAAAACATGTTGCCCTGTAAGAAAAAAGCAATTGTATTTGCGTGTGGGTTATACATATATGAATACCGTACGCGTATGAACCCGACCGTAGTTATATCACGGCCTCACAGAAAACCCGGCGTGAAGCAACACTTACGTTGTGTTTCGCCGTGTGAGTGAGGTTACCGGAGGCCCAATTCTCTCCACCCCTCCTCCATCTTCAATCCTCAAATCCCTAATAACCTACATGAGGGCGGCATCCCACTTGTTGTAAGTTGTTTAGTACTACGAGTCTTCATGGGTGATGCTGATTGCTTACCATGAGGTAGCCCGTAAATCAAAAGAAAGTCGTATTAGTTACACTATTTATAAGTCAAGAACGACTGAGCCGATTTGGCTGAAAATTGCTAAGAACTGGGAGAAGGACATAGGATAGGGTAGGTAAGGTAGGGTAGGTAAGGTAGGGTAGGTAAGGTAGGGTAGGTAAGGTAGGGTAGGTAAGGTAGGGTAGGTAAGGTAGTGTAGGTAAGGTAGGGTAGGTAAGGTAGGGTAGGTAAGGTAGGGTAGGTAAGGTAGGGTAGGTAAGGTAGGGTAGGTAAGGTAGGGTATGTAAGGTAGGTAGGGTAGGTAAGGTAGGTAAGGTAAGATAAGGACATAGGTTAGGGTAAAGTGGGATGTGTAGGGTAGGTAAGGCAGGTAGGTAAGGTAAGGTAGGGTATGTGAGGTAGGGTATGTAAGGTAGGTAAGGTATGTAAGGTAAGGTATGTAAGGTAAGGTAGGGTAGGTAAGGTAGGGTAGGTAAGGTAGGGTAGGTAAGGTAGGGTAGGTAAGGTAGGGTAGGAGGTAAAAGCTAGTCTTAAATAAATCGTATAACTCACCCCAGCAGAATTCTTGGGCAGAATCTCCAATATCCTGCCCTTGAGCCAGGGTCCGAAGGCGTTCTTCATGGCGTAGACTGGCATACTGATGCGGAGAGGTGGGCGGGAGATCTCCCCAGGAGGGGGCAGGTCTGCCGGAGCCGATTCCGCTGATAACTTTACTACTGATATATCTTTCTGTAGGGAAAAGATTAACGCCAAATAAATAAATATATATCAGGGACAACACATAGACAATTTAAAGACTGAATCTATACTAATATTATAAAGAGGTAAAATTTGTAAGTTTGTATGTAGGGGGTAATCTTTGGAACCGCTGGTCGGATTGCCGAAATTCTTTCACTGGTAGATAGCTACAATGTTACAGAGTGCTATAGGCTATAAAACATCACGCTACGATCAAATGGAGGCGCGGGTGAAACCGCGCGGGAGTGGCTAGTAGTTAATAGCGACAGACTTACAGCCATCATGCTGTAAGTCTGTCGCTGGTTCGATTTCCGCACGGAACAACTCTTTGTGTGATCCACAAATTGTTGTTCCGAGTCTGGGTGTCATGTGTATGTGAAATTGTATGTTTGTAAACTGTTTCTCCTTGTTTTTCCAGTTTTCCAGAAAATCCTAGTGTAGGCAAATGATTTAAATAATATAATTATGCAGTCTACATAAATCAAAATACGGTAGTATCCAACTAGTCAAATTCAATACTTTTATCCAAATGTCAAAAACGATACTTTTCTATGTAATTTGTATGAAACTATGACGTCAATTCAAAATTATGACGTCATAGTAGTTTTGCGTCAAATAGCTTACTTATTCCTTAAAAACATCTAATATTTAGTGTATCAATCGATCTCATCGATCGATTGATACACTAAATATTAGATGTACATATTAGATAAAAGTATAGTTATTTTTCAATATTTTATTGTATTGAAACGATAAATTAATTTATTTTTGACATAGGAAACTACCCAATTTATCCAGTAGGTTCCGAAGGAAAAGCTTTTCTACTTACATCATCATCCATTTTAACATCCGGCGCGGATGTTGACGATGCTAGTTTCGGTTCCTGAAACAAAAAAAAAACTGTAGATTTCAAATCAAAGAAAAATACTCGCATTTCTCACGTCACCTCACATTATTACATAAAATGTTACGTTAAAACATGCCAAGCTTCAGCACGAATGGGTCGGCTCGATCGGAGTGATACCACGGCCTCACAGAATACCGGCGTGAAACAAACACAGCGTTGTGTTTCGCCGTGTGAGTGAGGTTACCGGAGGCCTCTTCCCAATCCTTTCCAATCCTTAAATATCCGCAACCCTTTGGTGTTGCGAGTGTCGTGGGCGGCACCGATTGCTTACCATCAGGTAATCCGTCTGCTTGTTTGCCGACCTACACTAAAAAAAACTTACAAATATTCCTGTTTATATAAATAGGTTTACTTAAAAAAAAATGTCTTCATGCATACACCAAACCTATCTACCACTTTGGTATACCATTAGTTTTATTTATATGGGTCAAATGACATGACGTAACATGTCACGTCACGTCAGGTCAGGTCAGGTCACCATATCACGTCACGTCACTTTACCATATCACGTCGCGACACTTCACCACATCACGTCACGTCAGGTCATCACGTTACGTCAGGTCACGTTGATCATATAACATACCTTAGGTTGTTCTTGTTCTAAGGGCGTGTATCCTAATGCAATGGCAGGCTTCTTGGGCGGTAGATCGTTGCTCGAAGAGTTACGACGTTTAGCTTGGCGCGATTTCAACTATAGAAATTAAAAAATAATAAATAAATATTATAATATTCATTTATAAGCAATCAATGAAAAAATATCTAAAAAAAAGCGTTGCCCCACACTATGATTTTCTCCTGTGTCGTGGGCGCGTTTACAAACATACAATTTCATATAGACATGACACCCAGACCCGGAACAACAATTTGTGGGTCACACAAAAAGTTGTTCCGTGCGGGAAAAGAACCCGCGACACGTTAGTCAAATTTATTCATTTATAATTTATTTACCTATAAGTGTCCACTGCTGAGCAAAGACCTCTTCTCACGCGGAGAAGGTTTGAGCATTAATTACCACGCTTGCCGAAGGCAGATTGGCGATTTCAAACTTTTAATTAGAAATTATATATTTCGACACGAGCGTTCACCTTCTTAGAAGTCTGACAACGTGCCTGTAACTCCTTGGGTGTTGCGGGTGTCCATGGGCGGCGCTGATGGGTTACCATCAGGTAATCAGTTTGCCTCATATAACACTAGCTACTTTCGCGCGGTTTCACCCGCTGCTCGGCTCCATTTGATCGTAGTGTGATATTTTATAGCCTATAGCACTAAGGAACATTGTAGCTATCTATCAGTGAAAGAATTTTGGCAATCCGACCGGCGGTTCCAAAGATTACCCCCTACATACAAACATACAAACTTACAAATTTTACCTTTTTATAACATTATTATATATTATAGTGTGACAGAAAACTCTTTGACATCATGACGTCAATGGATGGTTGTCAAACGTTGCCTAGAGATTGTAAATTTCGTCGTGAATTGTCAACACGAGTTGGTGTAATCGGTAAGGCGTGTGGATTACACCACAGAGACCCCGAGTTCGAGACCCGCCGTAAACATGAAGTTTTTTAGTTGATGGAAGTTTTGTCGAACTTTCTGGAATATTTGAGTGAAAGTAATGAAAAATTAAGGAGCGAGAAGGAGAATAAATAAAAATGAATAACGAAATTATTGGAAGGTTCTGGAGGCATGACGATCAAAAAGAATAACGAAATTGAATGTTCTAGAACCTGACCAGGGGTATATAAGCGGAACTGCGGCTCACCGCTGGCAGTTGAGTTCTAAGTCCAAAGCGATTCGGAAGAAAAGGAAGAAGTGAAAAGAAGAAAAGTGAGTGAAATAGTGAAGTACAGTGAAATAGTGAAGTGCAGTCAGTTAAGTGAGTTAAGTCAGCGTGAACAGTGAACGGCAAAGTTGTGTCAGTCGGCCGGACTCTGCTGGAGAGGAACGCCGATAACTTATCCGTATCCGTGGACGCTGTCACTTAAGTGCAATAGAAAGTCTGAAAACCGGTATTAGTGTTTAATTTCATCCAATCCCGTAACCCAAGCCCGCATAGTTAGGAACGTGACGTCAGGCACGTAACATTTGGTGTCAGAAGTGGGATTTGGAGAAAAATGCCGCTAGTGCCGCAGGACGTAAGAGGAGTGAGTACCCGTGCTATGTCAGAAGCGCAGCGTGTGAGAGAAGAGGGTGCTGCAGCTCAAACCAGCGATGCAGAAGCCAAGCCTGTGCAGGTGGATCTTCTGCTACAGCTGCAGCAAATGATGGCAGAACAGCTGCGGGAGCTGAAAGAAGATCAAGCGCGCCGCCAAGAAGAGCAAGCACGCTGTCAGGCAGAACAGCTGCGGGAGCTGAAAGAAGATCAAGCGCGCCGCCAAGAAGAGCAAGCGCGCCGCCAAGAAGAGCAAGCGCGCCGCCAAGAAGAGCAAGCACGCTGTCAGTCAGGACAGCTGCGGGAGCTGAAAGAAGATCAAGCTCGTCGCCAAGAGGAGCAAGTGCGTCGCTTGGAAGACATGCATAAAGATTTCACGAAGGGACTGCAAAAGGCTGTCAAACGGGTACAAGAAGTGGAGGAAGGTTTAGGCAAGTTGGAACATCGCGTCATGGCGATAGAGGAGAGATTGGAAGAAGAGATCTCCAAAATCAAGCAGGAAGTGACAAACCCAAGCCCTTTAAAGAGCCGAAGCCGTCTTGCAGCCGTTTTTGACGCCCCAAATGCGGCCTTAAGCGCAACGAAAGGGCTCAAGATTCCCCATTACGACGGAACAACATCCTGGACCGCGTTCAAGCTACAGTTTGAGACACTTATGGAGGCTTATGGTTGGACTCAGAAGGAAGCACAGTCAGCCCTCACCCTGGCCCTCCGTGATCAAGCGCTCTCAGTGCTGGAAGCTATCGGCGCAAGTGGAGATCTCAGCTTTAGTGCCCTCCTCGACGCACTTGAGGCACGTTTTGGAGACAGCCACCTCGAGCACGTGTACAGAGCGCAATTAAAAGAGCGTACTCAGCGTGATAATGAGAGTCTACAGCAATGGTCCGTGGAAATCGAGAAACTTGTGCGTCGAGCTTTCCGGTCGACTCCGTCAATGATTGAAGGCACGCTTCTCCAAGCGTTCATTGACGGTATTCGGGACCCCGAAGTACGAGCTGCTGTTCATCTGGGCCATAACAAGAACATGAAAGAAGCTCTGGCCCATGCATTGGAAGTGGAAGCCGTGCGTGGCAACTCCCGTACCTTACGTCTGCGGGAAATGACGACAACGGAGCAGGTACCTCCACGCCGTCGGAACTTCATGTGCTATGGATGTGGAGAGCGTGGGCACATACGGAGCGACTGCCCGAAGAAGATGAACCGCAAGGACGCGGCGGTCTCAACTTCTGACCAGCAGGGAAACTTAAATCCAGCCAAGGCTGCGGGGTGGGCGCTGGCTGGTAGTGGAATAACCCCAACAATCTACATCAAGCAAACTAACGATGGAAATACCCTGGTGATAGACGGTCAAGTAAATGGGAAAAACAGTCAGCTAACATTAGATACTGGAGCTTCAAGGACGGTGATAAATGTTCGGCTGCTCGAGCAAAACATCAGGAAACACCTTAAACCAATTGTTGGCCTACAAATGAAATCAGCTACCGGCCAGTGCATACCGATAAGTGGAAAACTGCATGTAACAATCAAAATTGGGGAACGTGTTTATCGACATGAGGTTATTGTGGCCAGAATTCTGGATGACTGCATCCTGGGACTTGACTTCCTGCAAGGGCACCAGTGTAACATCGACTTAAAATCTGGAGTATTACTATGTGGAACTGAGGAAATTCCGATGAAGGGTGGAACCCTGGGAAAAGTTTGCTGTTTAAGAAGAACTGTTCTTGCACCAAAATCACAGACTCTCGTACCAATCGCATTACCTAGGAGGAGGGAAGGAAGTTTACCTCGAAGGTGCGCTGTGATTGATAAATCGGAACACGTGAATTCATGGCTACCGGCAAGAACTGTCGTGGGGTCATCTGATGTTAACCGCATTCCGGTATTCAACTTCAGTGATTCAGAAATTACGATTGAAGAAGGAGAGCCTGTGGGCGTATTGGAAGAAGTGGCCTGGATAAGAAAATGCTCGGAAAATCTTGTGAAGAAGGACAGTACGGGAATAGACTTTGTAACGAAAATCTTAGACGAAAACAAAAGTCTGACAAAAGTGGAGACTATGAAAGCTAGAAATTTACTTCTTCGATTCTCTGATGTGTTTTCAAGAAGCGATGGTGATATTGGCCGAACTGGTTTGGTGAAGCATAAAATAAACACAGGTGATACAATGCCAATTCGTCAAAGGCCCAGACGTATACCATTCGCTCGTGAGAAAGAAGTTGAAGAAATGATTGACGATATGAGGAAAAATGACGTGATAGAGCCCTCTTCTAGCCCTTGGTGTTCACCTGTCGTGCTTGTCAAGAAGAAAGATGGTTCAACGAGGTTTTGCGTAGACTATCGACGATTGAATGATGTAACCAAGAAGGATAGCTACCCGTTACCAAGAATCGATGACACACTTGACACACTGAGTGGCATGAAATGGTTTTCAACGCTCGATCTGAAAAGCGGCTATTGGCAGGTGGATTTGGATCCCAAGGACAAGGAAAAGACCGCATTCTCAACTGGGAAGGGACTCTGGCAATTTAAGGTGATGCCATTTGGATTATGCAATGCACCGGCAACCTTTGAGCGTTTGATGGAACAGGTGCTGGCGGGACTGCTGGGCGAAACTTGCCTAGTTTACCTCGATGACATCATCATTGTTGGACGGGATTTTGACGATCATCTAAGGAAATTGGAAAAGGTACTCGATAAGCTGCGTGGAGCAAATTTAAAGTTGAGTCCAAAGAAATGCTCTTTCTTCAAGCGCGAAGTGAATTATCTAGGACATGTTATTTCTGAGAGAGGAATTGAGACTGATCCAGCCAAGACTGCCGCTGTTAAGGAATGGCCGACACCTAAAGACAAAACGCAAGTTCGGGCATTTCTTGGATTGTGCTCGTATTATCGGCGGTTTGTGAAAGGATTCTCGGACATTGCCAAGCCTTTGCATCGATTGACAGAGGAGAAACGTGCCTTTATCTGGGACGAGGATTGTAAGCAAGCCTTTCGAGAACTAAAAGAACGGCTTTGTAACACACCAATTCTCGGATACCCCAGCGCGAAAGGAATATTCGTAGTTGATACGGATGCCAGCAATATTGGAATAGGAGGTGTCCTTTCACAACACGATGGTGAGCAGGAGAAGGTTATTGCTTACTTCAGCAAGTCACTATCCAAGCCGGAGAAGAATTATTGCGTGACCAGGAGGGAATTGCTGGCCGTAGTCAAAACTCTGCACCATTTCAAGAAGTATTTACTGGGACGGAAATTTTTGATCAGAACTGATCACGCTGCTTTGAAATGGCTACTTCAGTTTAAGGATCCCGAAGGCCAAGTAGCCAGATGGTTGGAACAACTTCAGGAATTTGACTTTGAAATCGAACATCGCGGCGGAAGAATTCATGGCAACGCAGATGCATTATCGAGACGCCCATGCGTGGAAGATTGCAAGCATTGTGCCAAGAAGGAAACTGCTTTTCTTAAGGTGATAAGGACTGATACTGTTGACGAGGCATGGGGAGACGATGCGATGAAATTAGAACAGGAAAGAGATGCAGATATCAAACCAATACTGGAGTGGCTACGAAGTGGTAACAAGCCAAGATGGAGTGACGTCGCCCAATATAGCGCGGTAACGAAAGGTTTATGGGCACAGTGGAAAAGCCTTACGCTGCATAACGGACTTCTGTGCAGGAAATGGGAATCAACAAACGGCAAGGACGAGCATTTGCAATTGGTGGTGCCTCGTTCAAAAATAAGGGATGTATTAAAAGCGTTCCATGATGGATCTTCTGGAGGACATTTGGGAATTAGGAGGACTTTGGTGAAGATCAAGGAGAGGTTTTATTGGTTGCATTGCAAATATGACGTCGAAGATTGGTGCCGGAAATGCACTAGTTGTGCAGCTGTCAAGGGTCCACAAACAAGAAGCAGAGGGGCGATGAAAATCTACAATGTTGGTATGCCTTGGGAGAGAATAGCCTTAGACATCGCTGGACCATTTCCAATCACTGATTCGGGCAATCGCTACGTTTTAGTGGTTATGGATTATTTTACAAAATGGCCGGAGGTCTTTGCCATACCGAATCAAGAGGCAGTAACTGTAGCCACGAAGTTGGTAAACGAGGTATTCACCCGATTCGGAGTGCCCTTGGAGATGCACAGTGATCAAGGACGGAACTTTGAATCCCAAGTTTTCCAGGAAACTTGTAAACTTTTGGGAATCCATAAGACTCGAACGACCCCTTATCATCCACAGTCAGATGGAATGGTCGAACGCTTCAACCAAACATTGGAGCGACACTTAGCAAAGGTGGTTGACAGCCATCAGAGAGATTGGGACACTTACATACCTCTCTTCTTGCTTGCCTATCGGACTGCTGTACATGAAAGTACCGCAAAGACGCCTGCATTTGCAAATTTTGGAAGGGAATTGAGATTACCGGCAGATCTTGTATCGGGCTGTCCACCTGGTGACTCTCGCACCGAGTTTAGCGATTACATAAGCGAGTTAAGGGCAAAAATGTTGGACATTTATGAGCAGATCAGGGAGGCCGGTCTTCAAGCTAGTGATCGCGCAAAGACGCGCTATGATCGACGAGCCAATTCTGTTGGGTTTGAAGAGGGGTCATTGGTCTGGCTTCATAATCCAGTCAGAAGGAAGGGAAAATCTCCAAAGCTGCAACCGAGTTGGGAAGGTCCTTACGAGATAGTCACGAAGATCAATGACATTACTTACAGAATTCGGAAGTCTTCAAGGAGCCCTTTGAAAGTTGTCCATATAGACAGGTTGGCGAGGTATTACGGCAGCAACGATGCTCGGGACGAGCGAATCTAAGAGGGGGGCAGTGTGACAGAAAACTCTTTGACATCATGACGTCAATGGATGGTTGTCAAACGTTGCCTAGAGATTGTAAATTTCGTCGTGAATTGTCAACACGAGTTGGTGTAATCGGTAAGGCGTGTGGATTACACCACAGAGACCCCGAGTTCGAGACCCGCCGTAAACATGAAGTTTTTTAGTTGATGGAAGTTTTGTCGAACTTTCTGGAATATTTGAGTGAAAGTAATGAAAAATTAAGGAGCGAGAAGGAGAATAAATAAAAATGAATAACGAAATTATTGGAAGGTTCTGGAGGCATGACGATCAAAAAGAATAACGAAATTGAATGTTCTAGAACCTGACCAGGGGTATATAAGCGGAACTGCGGCTCACCGCTGGCAGTTGAGTTCTAAGTCCAAAGCGATTCGGAAGAAAAGGAAGAAGTGAAAAGAAGAAAAGTGAGTGAAATAGTGAAGTACAGTGAAATAGTGAAGTGCAGTCAGTTAAGTGAGTTAAGTCAGCGTGAACAGTGAACGGCAAAGTTGTGTCAGTCGGCCGGACTCTGCTGGAGAGGAACGCCGATAACTTATCCGTATCCGTGGACGCTGTCACTTAAGTGCAATAGAAAGTCTGAAAACCGGTATTAGTGTTTAATTTCATCCAATCCCGTAACCCAAGCCCGCATAGTTAGGAACGTGACGTCAGGCACGTAACAATAGTATAGATAAATTAGATCTTACCTCAGTTTGATTTTTGGGAGTCGCAGTCGGTTCCTCCGCTTCTAGAGCTACGAACTGTAACAGACAGACAAATAGACAAACTGATTTATCAAGACGTTTTTATATATATATACTGTAAGTATAACTGTGTGTGTACTGTAAGTGTGGGCTCAACCGGAGTGATACCACGGCCCCACAGACAACCTACGTGAAACAATCACAGCTTTGTGTATCGCCGAGTGAATGAGGTTACGGAAAGCCCAATCCTTCCCCTCCCCGAATTCCTCCCCTATCCTTAAATCTACAAATCCTTAACCCATTAAGGTCGGAAACACAGTCATAACTCCTCTGTTGTTGTGTGTGTCCATGGGCGGCGCTGATTGCTTACCATCAGGTATCACATAAAAAAACTGTTCTAGCTTTATTTGAGGTTGGAAAATCATCTAATGGCTCCTTCCACCCTGGGTAGGGCGAGAGGGAGTGTCAGACTCTTACTGACTAAAAACCCCCCGTTCCATCTCCTGTCCCAGGCCGAAGCTGCGGATTGGGTAGTTTCCTAGGTCAAAAATAAACTAATTCGACGTATAAATACAAAAAAAAAATATTGAAAAATAACTAAAATTTTATCCATCGATCTGTCAGTACACTAAATTAAATTTGCTATATTTTTTAGCATAAGCATTTTTAAGAAATCAATAAGCTATTTGACGTTAAAATACTATGACGTCATAACTCAGTTTTTTATACAAATTTCATAGAAAAGTATCGTTTTTCGTGAACGGGCGCCGTCAGTTGGGACTGGTCAGCTCCAGACTGTCTATTGTTCCTAAGGTTACTTTATTTTTATATTTGAATAAATATTAGTGTTACACTGTTCTCACATAATTGAACCAACTGTTTGTAAATGTAATCTGTATGTGAAACTGATTTAAAAAGAGTAATCATGGAGTTTCTTGCTCGTTTTTCTCCATCGGAATCTACACTTTGGAACGAGCGAATAGTTTCACTAAGAGGACTGCCCGACAGACTGACACTTTATATCTCTAAAATTTTGTTTGACGTTCAAAAGTGCCTGTATGGGTCTAATTGAAATAAATGATTTTGACTTTGGCTTTGACTTTTTGATATTTCGATAAAAGTATTGAATTTGACTAGTTGGAAACTACCGTATTGATGTTGGCGAATTTTCCTAGTATCTATTCACCCCTCTTCTGTTTCAATTTACCCCTCGAAATCTATTCACGCCGTTTCACAGTAGTACATATACACCGTGACTTTTTTGTCGTCTTATAAAAGTTGTCTGTCTCATAAAATACCTCTAGGCGCGATTATTATTTTTTTATCATTAATTAAGATAATAGGTACGAAAAACATTAATAAAACATTAGAAATTTTAAGAGATTTTAAGCTGTAGAATATCCTCCATCTCCATTTTCTACGAGACAAAATATCGCAAACCAATCTAGCATAGTCCACGTGGACTGTTGTCCAATCAGATTGTCTAACGCTATCCTTAGACAACGTCGGCGCACGCGGTGCCCCGCCCCTTTCACTTGAAATTAGGTGAAGGTCACTATTAAAGATTCACTATTTCTTTCTTTCTTTCTTTCTTTCTTCTTTTCTTTCTATTACTGTAGCTTAGGCACGGAACGCGCTTGCTACAGAGTGTTTCTAAAACTACGCCTTGCGTGATAATAATGAATAATATTTTGATTTTTAATTTATTTAAATCTCATAATTTTTTAATTTTTTTATTATGAACGTTTACTAGGTAAGACGACTAAAAAGTCACGGTGTATAGCAGTTAAAAAATATATTATAGCGTACCTTAAGATTGGGCATGTCGAATAACACCAATGGAGTAAGCTCCTGCCTCCTACACTCGAACGTAGCATAGAGTTCCGTCCTCAGCTTATCTGTGGCAGCCTGACATTCATTCAACATGGCGTCTATTTCTTTGCTGTCCTCTGTGAAATAAAAAAAAATTATACTATCAACACACTTTCTCATAAAGATTAGGTCACCGGAAAATACATCGCAGACAATTCATTGAAAAAATAATTCGCCAAACGACAAGTCTTCGAACAGCAATTCGCCGAAAGTATCCAGACGGAATGACATTTGTGTGTGTTTGTGTGTGTGTGCGTGCGTGCGTGCATGTGGGTGTGGGTGTGGGGGGGGGGGGTGGTTTTTTGTGGTGGACATGCACAGATTTCATAAATATTCTATACAATTCTATTGAATCTCCGTTTTTTTTTTGAAAGAGTTTTTTTCTTGCACTTCTTATTCGACGAATTTTTATTCGATAAATTGTTTTTCAATCAATCAATTGTTTTCGATGAATTTTCCGCAAATCCACAAAGTGGCTCTTAAGTCTAATCCCACGGCAATTTGGCGCGTAATGGCACTTATAATGAAACTGCGACTTTCTCATTACAATTATTTACGTACTCGTCCCGGTTTCTCTTTTGAAGTTTTTTATTAAAGTTTTTTATTCTACTTTTTTAATTACTATTCTATTTTGACGTTTCAAAAATACCTATTTAGGGTTTACTTGGAGTAATTGATTTTGATTTTAAAATTGATCATGACATTAATTTTATCTTGATTTCGATACTGACTTTGATATGATTTAGATCTTAAAATTCGATTTCGATCTTGATATTGATGTTGGTATTTAATATTAATTTTGATCTTGATATTGACTTTGACATTGATATTGACTTTAGTTGGAACAAATATTTGTATGATCTACGGCATTTAGGACAATACTTACTCTCCAGTTTATTAATCTCTTCGTCCAGCATTGTTTGAGTTTCCTTCAAGCGAGCGTCCATGTTGTATTTCTTCCATGTTTCATTGAAATAATTGGCTAAATTATCTTCTAAGAACCTGTAAATTTATTAAAAAAATTCTATATAGAGCTTTAAGGATCTTAAATCATGCCTTAACATGCAAATAAAGAATTTGAATTTGAATTTAAAGAATTTGAATTTGAATTTGAATTTGAATTTAGGCAGTAAGAGTCTGACACTTTTTCGCCTCACACTTTTTTTATGTTAGGGGAAATCATCAAATGACTTTTCCCGCCGAGGGCCGGGCGGGAGGGAGTGTCAGACTGTAACTGACTAAAAACCCCCCTGTTCCTTCTCCTGCTCTGGGCCGAGGTCGCGGTGACTCATTACGCTTACCCCGCAACCCCGGCTGAACATCAGCCCTATAGGGCCCCGTCTGTGGTGGTATATTGGCTCTTTGAGGCCTCACCCTGGGAGGGAAGGTAATGACTTCTCTCTACTCTCGCCCTAAGCCAGGTTATTAAGGATAGGACCAGATAGGACAAAGCTGAAGATGGAACGGTGTGGTGCTTAGTCAATAATAGTCAGACGATCCTATGGATTCTTTTAACGTTATTGATTTACAAATTAGTACGACGAATTAGTGGACAACCTGATGGTAAGCAAACATTGTCAGCCATGGATATCAGCAAGTCCAGAAAAATTACAAGAATGTGAGTATTGTTTAAAAAAAACAAAACGTTGACCCCACACTAGGATTTTCTCCTGTATCTTAGGTACGTTTACAAACATACAATTTCACATACACTACCCATCACACCCAGACCCGGAACAACAATTTGTGGATTACACAAAAAGTTGTTTTATGCGAGAATCGAACCCGCGACACGTTGCACGGCAGCCAGTTGCCCAACCACCGCGCCAACCGTACAGTCCTTATTCCCGCTTAAAAAGCATAGAAGAATGTACTCACTTGGCTCCCTTCTCTCCTATGCACTCCCTCTCCTCCTCAGGACTCTGATCCTCATCATCAGACTCGGAGTCAGATATCTTCACCAGATCGTGGCTGTTCTTGCTCATATCCAATTCTAGGAGGGGCGTGAAATTCTTTATCCCTTCAACTAGTTTCTGCAAATGTAAATCAACATTACTGGTTTAAAATGTCATGTCTATTAAAAGAACATCTGTGTGGGAGAGTCATGCTTCGGCACGAATGGGTCAAAAAACCGGCGTGAAATAAGCAAAGAGTTGTGTTTCGCCGTGTAAGTGAGGAATCGGAGGCCCAATCCTCAAATCTCCAAATCCCTAATCCCTAAACGGTCGGAAACGCACTCGTAACCCCTTCGCTGCGGGTGTCCATGGGCGGCGCTGACTGCTTACCATCAGGTAATCCGTCTGCTCGTTTGCCGACCTATTACATAAAGAAAAACCCCAAAAGGCCGGCAACGTACTCGACCTACTTTAGAGTATCGGGTGTCCATAGCCGACGCTGATTGCTTACCATCAGGGAATCCGTCTGCTAGTTAACCGATCTTGTTACATAAAGCTAGAAAAGATAATATTACCGTCTCCATAGCAAGAACCACATCAGCACAAGGTTGGCAGACTAGATGTTTCTTCTTCCTAGGCGCGTCGTAATACGCCACGACCGCCGTACTCGCCGGTAGGAAGGCGACATCTGGGCCACTGGGGCAACGGTCGTTCACACACCGACGAGGCTTCTCGGGGTCGCTGGGGGCTTCGGGGGGCGGATCTGGTGTTTTTTCTGTAAGGAAGAAGATTATCGTCAAAAATAGATTATAGTATAGAATGTTTACGGCGCTTGGCACTTGCATTAAGGTCTAGGCATATTTATTTATTTATTATTTATGCACATCACACATACAGTAAATAGAGAACAAATACAGAGACAGAGGTACATAGGTACTGCATATTCCTATATGGAATCTCTTCCTGCAGTCCTTCGAAAGGAAAAATGTAAGTGACATAGACACTGTGTGATAAACTAAAACAACAGGAAAAAGAGAAATAGGAAATAACAAACAAAACAATAATTTAACCTAAGACTAAAACTAGAGCTACAGAAATAAAATAAGTCTTTTTTTTCAGGTTTTTTTTGTGAGTTCTTTTTTTTTCAGGTTTTTTTTTTGTGAGGGGCAAGTCATCAAATGACTTCTTTCGCCCAGGAAGGAGTGTCAGACTCTTACTGACTAACCCCCTCCCCCCCCCGTTCCTTCTCCTGCTCTGGGCCGAGGTCGAGGTGCCTCATTGCGCTTACCCCTCCACCCCGGCTGACCATCAGCCCTATAGGGCCCCGTCTGTGGTGGTCTATTGGCTCTTTGAGGCGCGCGCGGAACGCTACGCGCCGTACGCTCGGGTCTGGTTCTGGTCGGGCGGCGAGCTACCCTTATTCGGCAACCGCAGACCCGCGTTCAGTGGGTAAGTCATCATCAGGGCCTCATGCGTCGAGATGGAGTTTCGGACTCTTACTGACAAAATCTACCTAACATCCACGAAACGAACCTAAGTCGGGGTTTTACTTTTTTTAATATTATTTTTAAATAACGTTGAACACTAAGATATCCTCCTGTGTCGTGGGTGCGTTTACAAACACACAACTTCACATACACATCACACCCAGACATGGAACAACAATTTGTGGATCACACAAAGAGTTGTTCCGTGAGGGAATCGAAACCGCGACACGTTGCACAGCAGCCAGTTGCCCAGCCACCACGCCAACCGTGCAATTGTAATTTATATATAATGTTCTTAATGATGCTTTAAACTACGCTCAACTTTAATAATTTATGCATGATGTGCTTACCTATAAGAAATTGGTACTCTAGCTTATAAGTCTCTTGGATGTATCATTTTATTGTATCAGTGTATTCATTTGTTGTTATTGAGCCAAATAAATAAAATTAAATGAAAATGATGATTTCCGAGGTTATTTAAGCATCTTACCTTTAGGTGTGCTCTCATCCTCATCAGAATCTAGGTTGAATATTTCTAGACCTATCTTAGGTTTAGGATCCGTTGATGTCTGTTGTTGTTCTGTTATCTGAAAATAGCAAGATAAAAATATAAATGTAATATTTTTATTATAAGAGTCCCGGTCTTCTTCGAAACCAGTCGAGCAAACTTGAAAAGTGTCGAGAGTGCAGTACTTTTAACTATGTTTAATAATAATAAATAATTATAATGATGAGAGTTATTTTAAAGTGATAATATTATGGCGTCATGGGTCGAGTGGTCAAATAAGATCCGAGAGCCGAGTGAGGTCCTTCAGGTACCCGGCAACAGAGGAATTAAGAATGAGTAACCAGCCTTTTGTGTACTACAATTTGCAACTCTGCCCACCCACTGGCAAAAAAAAAGCGTGACGATATAATTATGTTTAAAAAAATCTAACAAATTACCTGAGTAACCGGTATGACCATTGGTTCAGTGTTGCTAGCTGTTTTAATTGATACTTCACTTGTATTCAGTCTTGCCTGTAAAAAAAACAATACACTTATTTAAACTGGTGGCCGAATCAGAATGTAGTTTTTTTTTATTGTGATCGGTTGGCAAACTAGCATACGGATTACCTGATGGTAAGCAATCAGCGCCGCCCATGGACAGTCGCAACCACGGAGGAGTTACAAGTACGTTAAAGATTTATTTATGGATTGGGGGTGGGGAAGGATTGGGCCTCCGGTAACCTCACTCACACGGCGAAACACAACGCTGTGTGTATTAATAAACTTATAACAAATGCGAAATATATGAAAGACACTTTAGCAAGATATCTTGACAGGAGTGATACCACGGCCTCACAGTAAAGGCGTTATTCCACGCTACCGTTGTGTGCAGCTATGTGAGTTAGGCCAGTTTAGGCCCAGTTCTTCCCCCATCCCTTACCTTCGAGACACCCGTTAATTTTTTTTAAATCTCTTGTATAGTGGTTGTCCATGATCGACGCCGATTGTCTTTCTGTAACATTCTTATAACTAAGCAATTATATATATAGGTAACTTAAATAGGTTGCTTATGGATAAACCGCATTTTTGTTTACCACCAGGCGATTTATATACCAAACCGGTAAAACTGGCTCATTGTATGCAATAAAAAAATAAACTTAACATATAGATAAGCCCCTGTCTGACTTGAAACTAGTCGAGTATTCTCGTAAAATTTCGGTAAGGTGACTAAACTACATTTTATCTTTCCATCACGCGGGAAAAGCCACTACCAGAAACTAATATCAAAAATGTACTTACCACTTTATGAGGAGGCGGTTTAGGCACTCCACTTATAACGACCTCACCCTCTTTGGTGACGATCTCTGACGTGTTTCCGGCGGAAGTGCACATGATTTCAATGCCAGTCGGGATGTTGACGTCAGTTACGTCAGATTCTGACGTCCTTTGAACTTCATCTTGTTTTAATCGTTTGGCTTGAGGTTCTGTCTGTTTGTCAATTTCTTGTATATCTGTCGAATAATGGAAAGATAAAGAATTTAATGATAACGTAATGACTGCACGAATGGTGGGGTGGCTGAGCAACTGGCTGCTGTGCAACGTGTCGCGGGTTCGATTCCCGCACGGAACAACTCTTTGTGTGATCCACAAATTGTTGTTCCGGGTCTGGGTGTGATGTGTATGTGAAACTGTTTGTTTGTATACGCATCCCAGGACACGGGAGAAAATCCAAGTGTAGGGCAATGTTTACAATTAAAGAAACTTTTCAATGCAATAAATGCGGATGTTCATTGGCGACTGCGGATGTTGATTGCTTAACATCAGGTGAACCGTCTGGTCGTTTGCCGACCTATTCAAGTGAAAGAAGCTTGTCGAAGATCCTCAACTTACCATCTTCGGAAGAACTGCTTTCTTCCAAATCTACAATGTTGACAACGTTGCTTTCCTGTTGCGTTATAATCTCCAGCTTCTTCACCTTAGTTGGTGATTGCGTGTAAGACTTGCAAGGCGAACGACTTGGCGATTCATTCTTAGAAGCTGGCGACTTTGATGGTGATTTCTCGTTTTTCTTTTGTTGATCTGTAAGTTTTAAACGAATAAAAACGAGGTCGAATCCGAGACAAGTTTTTGGATTTGAAAGGTCGGTCAAAGTGTTATTGCGTGTTTTTTTTCTTGTTATGTTTATTATGTACTAGCTTTTGCCCGCGACTCTCTTCGCGTGGAATAGTGACTTTATGCAGATTTTTAGTTTAAAAACTATCCTATGTCCTTACTCAAGTTCCAAACTATGTCAGTACAAAATTTCACTGAAATCGGTTCAGTAGTTTAGGCGTGAAGAAAAGACAGAAAGACAGACAGACAAATAGAGTTACATTCGCATTTATAATATTAAGTTTGGACAGTTTGGATAAATGACAATAAATAACATTCCTGCTGCTTTAGAACCATTAACACGCATTATTAGCCTGCCGGACTTGTAGGACAAGCGCAATAAGGCACCGCAGCCTCGGCGGTATGAGAAGGAACGGGGGGGTTTTAGTCAGTAAGTCTTTTTTTTCTTAGGGGCAAATCATCTTCTGCCACACAAGGCGAGAGAGTGTTCAGAATCTAACTGACTCAAGCCCAAGTTCCTAAACTTGCGCAGGGACTCATTGCGCGTATCCCGCAACCCCGGCGTCAATAAGAGTCTGACACTCCCTGCCGCCCCACCCTGGGCGGGAGAAGTCATTTGATGATTTTCTTCTCACAAAAAAAGGCTATAAAACATCTCTCTACAAGCTGTAGGGGCGTGACACCGCGCGAAAGTAATAAATAAAGTGTTACCAACATCACCGAAAAAAAAATCCTACCTTCAGTCTCTTTTATCTCGTCAGTAGTCTGATTTCTGACTTCGCTTGCGTTGTCCTCAGCTTCATTGTCAGAAGTGTCAGACAGTTTCACTGTCTCTATATCCATTTGGTCTGATAATACTTTTTGTTGCTGTAAATATACAAACATACAATTATTAATATTTCTTTTATTTATTCTTTTTGTACACAATGAAATGAGTTTGATGCAAAAGACGGACTTAATGCCATATGTCAAACTTTGGGTCATGTGGAAAATCAGCGAAAAATAGGTACGGGAAATATGTTCCGATACGAAATGATCTACGATTAATATTTAAAAAACAACTGTATGCATACATATATGTATATTGGGATATACATATATGAACATATACATAAATTAATAAGTTTGTAAGTTTGTATGTAGGGGGTAATCTTTGGAACCACTGATCGGATTTCCAAAATTCTTTCACTAATAGATAGCACTCAGGAACATTGTAGATATCTATCAGTGAAACAATTTTGGCAATCCGACCAGCGATTCCAAAGATTACCTCCTACATACAAACTTACAAATTTTACCTTTTTATAATATTAGTATAGATTTCCGTACATACCTCAATTTGTTCACCAGGACCGTCTTCTAAGGCAGGTACAGCATGAGCTTCTGAATTCGAATCGTCCTCCTGGATCGTCTCCGCGTGTATTTCCAACTGAAGTACAAAAAAAATGGCAAAAATTTATTGTTTTTATTATCATTGCGATGTTAGTAAACCGATAGCAAGAAATAATGTTGTGTTTTTTTGGAATAAGACAGACACATCCACTAAAAACCGCTGCAACTCTTGTAAGCCAGGATCTACTGTAGATACAACCATGAAAACACCGGAACACTGAAGTCCGGCGCGTCCTAGGGACACGAATGACAGTCTTGGATCCCGCAACGAAATAAATCAGAAGATATTATTTAAGGCGAAGCAAAAACTAAATAGGTTCGAGTTCTGAGAAAAAAGTCAAAGTCGAAGTCAAAATCATGTATTCCAACTAAACCATAAATAGGTACTTTTGAAACGTCAAAATAGAATAGTAGTCTGTCAGTCCGTTCGTCAGTGAAGCTAGGTGCTCATTCCAAATTGTAGATTCGAATGGAGAAGAACGAGCAAGAAACACCATTCGTAAATCTTTTTTAAAAAAAAATGTTTTACAATTTCAATAATATAACATTTATAGTATACATTCAAAAAACATAGGTTTTGGGACTTTTTCGTTATTTTCACAAAGGAGAATTAACGTTTTGTAAGTGAAGTTAGGTCACAGTGAAAAGTGCTTGTGCCCTCGCGATTATTATGTCTATCTAATAGTAAAAACATAGCACTTGCATTATAAGAAGATTTTTTTCAAATATTCATTCAGGTTTAGGAGTTATCATTGTTTTTCAGTTTTAAAAATCTAGGTTATAATTGTCCATTGACATCACAATGAGCATGGCATTATGCTTATATTCTCTTTGCAGTAAGTAATACAGACAGAATTCCATTACTATTAGTATATTTTCATACTATAATCAAGTTCATGCATAAAGTAACAAATTCAAATAATCATAGAGATAAAAATATAAAATAATGTTAAAGTAATAATAATTCTGGACGAATCTTTTTATTTCATTAACTTGTGTTACTGATATTTGTTTTAATTTTAATAATATTACATATTAAGGTAAATAAAACAAATGAAACTTGGATAAACTACTTATTTATTCTTTATTAAATACTAGCTACTCTCGCGCGGTTTAATCCGCTGCTCGGCTCCATTTAGTTGTAGCGGGATGCTCTATAGGCTATATATAGTACTCAGGAACATTGTAGCTATCTATCAGTGAAAGAATTTTGTCAATCCGACCATCGGTTCCAAAGATTACCCCCCTACATACAAACTTACAAATTTTACCTTATTATAATATTAGTATAGATTTTATCCAAAGATTGAGCTGGAGCACTTTTCTTGATGCGGTGATTAAATACTAGGTATGTTATGGATATGAAATTTCGAATACGGATTGGATACGGAGATGGGAATGATTATTATACTGGATACGGGTATGAAATTATTTCGGATTATCCGTTACTTTCGGATAATTTAGGTTACGAATATTAAAATTTTAAGCAATATCAAAAGTAAAAACCCAACATAACGTGTCTCAATTAGGCTCCGCCCCTAACCGATATTATCCGAATCGTTTATTTCGGATTCGGTTACGGTTATGGATTTTTTTTTTTTTTATATCGGACTAGGTACCCTCGCACGGTTTCACCCGTGGCTCAGCTCAATTTGATCGTAGCGTGATGTTTTTATAGCCTATAGCACTCAGGAACATTGTAGCTATCAATAAGTGAAATAATTTTGGCAATTCGACCAGCGGTTCCAAAGATTACCCCCTACATACAAACTTACAAATTTTACTTCTTTATAATATTAGTATAGATATCCGATAGTTTCGGTTACGGTTACAGAGCTCCCTAACATCCCTGGTAAATACCACAATACTGTCTGAATGACAGTACTTACGAAGAAGACTTACTTACTACTACTATACTTTTACGATTATTTTTCCATGTCAAAAGAAACAATTGGCGACATCCGCAATGGAATACGTAGCGATTGTATTGATAAAGTGACCAACATACTACTCTGTCAAAAAAAATTAAAATTCGAATTTGGAACCATAAAAAAAACATTCATTCCCGATACTTTGTTGACTGAATGTATATTTTCACAAAGTAATCGCACTATCAAACGCATCGTACGATCGTTTTTAGGCATTCCATGTGCTCGCACGATCACTTGTGAGGTTCAAATATAGGGTTGCCACCTTTTTTTGTAGTTAATAAAGTACATTGGTTATAATAGGTCAGAAAAAAGTACATGGGATCAAGATAAAGTACAATTGTTTTTTTAAATATTTCAAAACATATTTTTTATTGCTTTTTGCAGTTTGCATTAAATAAGTATCTCTATTAAAACATATTTACAGTCTTTATTAAATTCAGAGATGCTTTGTTTCTTTCATCTCTTCATCTCGTTGTTCATCACACCCTTTCAAAATCCCAAAAAATCAATACATACAAAATAAAGTATTTTCTTGTACTTTATGGTACTCATAAAGTATAGAGTACAATTATATGAAATAGAGTACAATACTTTATTATAAAGTACGGGTGGCAACCCTATTCAAATAAGACACTCTGATGAAGTCTGTATGCTTGAATCGCACGATGAGAACGCATCGCGTCATGGTACGATCGCTCCTGGCCTAAACAGTAGCTCTGAAGTTGTCAAATGCTAAAATCTATATTCAAATGTTGAGACATAAACTAGCTGTTATAAAAAGTAAATCTTTTTTTTTATATTTATTTAACGTTGTTTATTGTTTGTCTAACGTTGATTACTCCATTAATACGAACGTCGTCGTCGATAGTTATTTGGTTTCTGTCAATTTTTTCTTGCATGTCTGTGATACGGATATCGAGGTAATATTTAACTACTATTTATATCTATATATATAAAAATGGATCGCAAAAGGTGTTGGTAAGCGCATAACTCAACAACGCCTGGACCAATTTTGCTAATTCTTTTTTTGTTGTGTTTGTTATAGTCAGGAGAAGGTTCTCATCAAAGAAAATATAAGAAAAGTAGAGGGAAAAAGTTGGGAAAAGTAACCCTTTGATAGTGATATAGTAGGACCCGTGCGAAGCAGGGGCGGGCCGCTAGTCTATAAAATAAATAAAAAAAATCCAAAACCACTGACAAAAAACTAAGACCCGTTTAAAAAGTAAAAAATAACAAAAATACATCGCGTTGGGCGACCGTAAAGAAATCGATAATAAAAAATTTGGAGCGATCCCCCAATTTTTCACCAAACATTTCTAAAAACACTCGTAAGTCACCTTTGATACAAAAGAAAAACTAAATTGAAATCGCTTCATCAGTTCAGGCTCCAGGTCGCCACAGACAGACACACAGACACGTCAAACTTATAAGACACCTTTTTTTCGTCAGGGGTTAAAAATAAATAATATTTTTACGGTATAATTCCATTGAGGCACACGGTAACACAAAATGGACCCATCCCGTGGCATTCTCCTTTCTCGGCAGCACCAAGTCTGTACCAATGTCCATGCCAGCTACGGACAGACATCCATTACACCAAAAAAGTTGCCAACGCATTACAGGCTTTTTTTAGCGATTTAACGATTGGAAGTATCGAGAATGGAAGAGGAGAGGGGTTTAGTTTTGTTTTATTTTATGGGACGCAAACGAGCAGCGACGTCGCCTGATGGTAAGTGACCAGCGCCGCTCATGGCAACACCAGAGGAGTCAAAGGCGCGTTGCCGGCCTTTTAACAAGAAGAAAATCTCTTACCGTTCCAAATTCGCAATTTTCATTATCAACGTCCATTTTCTCCTCTGCATTCGGAGGGTCTGCAGCGCTGAAGGTGAACTGCTCATCTTTGGGCTCCGGAGTATCCAAGTCCTTGCCATCCTGGTCTTTAGCTGGTTCATGTTCGGAGGCAGGTGGGTTGGAGTCTTCTGACTGTTCCGCTGATACCTGGTTACTGCTTTCTGGAGTGGAAACATAAAATATTTGATACATATGTGGGCCCAATAGGGCCGAAGTTGAGCCCAGTTGCGGGGCAAGCGCAAAAGAGGTAGTGTTAATTTATTACTGACTAAAACTACCGCGATCCTTCTCATGATCAAGGCCAACGCCGCGGTACATTACAGCGCTTGCCTTCGTCAGCCTACACCCCGACTGACCCTACGTCAGGGGTAGCTATATAGCTAACTCCACAAAAATTCTGGAAATATTGCTAAAATTTTGTAAATACTCTATAAATAACATTATTAAATTGTTTAGCTTGGCAAAAAAGAGTCTGACGCGGTGACATTTGGAACTAAAATATTTTTGCTGTGGTGATTCATGTTTAGCCACTTTCTTCTACGATGAATACCTGATGTGACCTACATTGATGGAGCACACCTACACATAATCAAGCTGACGACTTTGACTTGACGACACGCAGGTTATACCCTTCGGGGAACACAGGTTTCGACATAGAATTCAACTCACTAGCGACCGTCCAACTATTCCTAAAAAAAATTAAGAGACACACTTTAAATCAATAAAAAAACTTCTTCAACTCACCATCCTGATCGAAATCCTCATCATCATCGCCATCATCATCATCTTCTGGCTCCTCATCGTCTTCCATGACTCGTCCTGATGATTCGGCTAGGAGGCCTAAACTGTCTGACACTTCAGGAACACCGTTAGACGTGTCTGGAGTCATTTCGTTGGCAGGACCTGGATCAGTTGTCGTTGGAGCATCATTTGCTGTTGTGGTATCTGTTGGAGTTGGTGTGGCGGTTTCAGTAACAGCATTAGCTGTAGTTTCAAGACTAACAGCAGTTGATGTACTAGCGACGCTCGCAGTTCCAGGAAGAAAGGATAGTGGTATACCTAAATCTGATTGGCTTGATGCATCTGAAAGAGGAATAGAGTTTTTACTGTAGTCGAGTCAGCCGGGGTTGCGGGTCAAGCGCAATATACTACCGGCTTAATCTAGTTTTTCACATATAATTTGACGTGTAAAAGTGCCGTTTTATGACCTACTTGCAAAAATAAATTCATTGTTTCATTGTATAGCAGGAGAAGGAATAGGGCAGTTTTAAGTCAATAAGAGTGACATTTCCTCTCGCTCCTCACAAAGCGAGAGAAGTAGAATTATGTAGCTAGTATTTACAATCAAAAACAATTTCTTTTTTTGCTTTCCAGTAAAATAAAATTTTACAAAAAAATTGTCCAATGTTATGACTTTCTCGTAAGTACCATGACAGGTAAGTAACCTACAAATTCATAAAAAAAAAACCATTTTGCTACCTCCTTGTTTTTTATGAACGTTTACGACCATACCAAATCCATTAAAAAGTATGTAAGAATCATTCTTATAGTGATTCTTATATACACTTTTCATGGTTTTCATGTATTGAACGAATTTGTTTTTGGTTTTTCGTTGGAAAGTTCTCATGGAGACTCACCACCCTCGGGGAAGGGCGAAGGATTCTGTCAGGCTCTTATTGACTAAAAACCAAGCCGGTATTTCTAATTTACCCATGTGTCGGGGGGGGCGGATATCGCCGAAGCATTCGTCGCAACCCCCCGACGGGTACGACCGGGTGGACCGGCATTATTATCTAGACTAGCCCAAAAAATAAAAGAAAAAAGAAATTGATAGCTCACCAGCCACATATACGGGTTGTTCCACTGGTATAACTATTGGAGCATGGTCTGCAAACATCTTCTCCAAACTATCTTCTATACTCTCATTTGGTACCATATTCCCTCTCCGATTCACACCCTCCGCAACATTACACTCCTCTCTCACCGGTGCTGGTGGCTCTTTAACCGGAGCCGTAACACTTGTGTCCTGTTCATCATCATCATCGGGGCTATCCGTACTGTCTGATCGGTCTAGTCCGAACGACAGATCATCAATGTCTAAAAGCTCTTGCGTTGGTATTTCTAACATAGCATCGGGTTTGTTTAGTCTGTGGTTTGTTTTTATTGGTGCGGGTGATGATGCAGCTTCGCAAAGTGACATGTCATCTGCGGTTGCTGTTTTGTCTAAATCCAAATCTTGTTTTGGTAATTTTTCTTGTTTTTCAACATTTGTGACTAGATTTTCAGTCTTATCTTCATTTACAGCAGGTTCTTTATTATTTGAAATTTCTTCCGTCTGTCCTGGACTGGGTAATTCTGGATCAGTCTGAATTTGTTCAGGTGTCAAGTTAGAATTTTCTGTGCTTTCAACTAAATTGTCTTTTACATTACCATCTACATCATCTACAGTAATGGTTTTTTTATCATTTTCATTTAGTGCAGCTTCTTCTAAGATATTATCTTTTTCTTTATTGAAGTCATTGGTTTTATTCACATCTGCAATCAAATCTATATCAATAACTGTCTGGTCAATACTTTCTGAAACCTTAGCTGGGCCCTCAGCTTTTTCAGTCTCAGTATTTATTTCTTTATCCTGATCTAAAACTGCATCTTCATCTTTATTTATATTTCCAATTTCATCTTCAGTATTTTGAACAGTTTTAAGATCTGTGGCACTTTGAGATTCTCCATCCTCTTTTAATAGTTCTCTTTCTTTGTCATCATCTACAGCATCCATTGAGTCTGTGTCCGGGACCAATTCAGGTATATCAGTCTCTGCTAAAAGTTGATCTTCTAGTAAAGCTTCATCATCAAGTTTTTTGTCTTTCTTATCCTGATTTTTCAGAAGATCTTCATCTTTTTTACCCTGTTTCACCTTGTCATCATCAGTATCCATAACAATATCAGTGAAAGATGTTATTTCAAATGCTGATTTACCTGTATGTTTAGGATTTTTTGATTCCACTAACGATTCATCTTCTTTAGCTTCTTCTAGAGATTTTTCCGTATTATTTTTTGTTATCTTTTCTGATTTTTCTATTTCAGTCATTTCTGTGTCCTCACATAGATTGTCCTTTTCATCTAAAACATCTTGACATTCTTTCAGTACTGTGTCTGCCTCTAAATCTGAATTAATACTATCTTCTAAAAGGTCATTTTCTATTTCTGCATTTTCGAAATTGGATTTTGAGTCAGAATTCTTATTGGGTTCATCCAACACTTTACTTTCAACATTAGTGTCTGTAGGATCAGCCAAAAGCTGTTCTTCTAATAAATCTTCATTTTTAGGTGAATATCTGCCACTGTCAATTCCCTCTATTGGATCCATGACTTCATCGTCATCCCATTTTAATTCCATCTCATCTTCATCCACTTCATATTTATCATCTGAATCCTGAGACATTTTGTTTGTTGATTCTTTAAGTTTCTCTAGACCATCATCAGTTTCTTCCTCAGGAGGGGTATTAGAACTCTTTTCTAAATTTTGATCTTTAGTCACACTGTCAGTGGCTGTATGATTACCACTCCCTTTGCCGTCAACAGACGTATGGTAATCTTTTGAAGTTTCAATTAAATTTAAATTCTCTTCTTCAAGTATTTTTGAGTTTTTACTAGAGATGTGCTCTCCAGCATCCCCAGAGTCTTTATTACTTAGTTGTTTTGAAACATATTGCGTTTGAGAAACGCCGCTATTGTTTTGAGTATCACCATCCGAATTTTTTGCCGATATAATACCTTCAGGACTCTTTTTGGACATTTCACTGTTTTCTTCCGTCCTCAGCAGGTTATTATCAGCATCATCACTATTTTTGTCACCCATAGCACTGATTTTGAAGTAGAATTATTAACAAAAACAAATTATTATTGAATCTATGATCACGAATTGTTGGTAGGAAATCTCTGATTTTGTTAGTTTTAAACTTAAAAACTAAAATCGTAATAACAACAAGTTTAATTGTTTGTGCTGTAATATTGAATAATCGATAGTAGGTAATTTAAATAATAAACTATTTCACATCGACGCGAAAAGAGCATTTTTGGTGTTTGCCATTTTCGTCAAATTGACAGGTCACAGTTTGTCAAGCACTCTTGACAGCGACAGATGCCAGGGAATGTTCCCAGGCTAAATAATATAATAGCATGATTACATGCTGTTTGAGTTTGGATACAATTTGAAAACAAAAAATATTAATTGCAAACACTAAACTATTTTTTGTTTCATACAGTTCATCGTTCAAAGCACTGGACAGACAATTCAATATTTTAGCTTCGCAAACTAACAGATCATTTTTATCTGTATTCCTTCTTTGAGCGCGTTCCAGACTTTCGTTGTCGTCAAAGAAACAAACTTGCCTGTTTCTTTCTGTACTATAGCCGCGTCTTTTTCTTTACATTTGGTAACCATCTACCCGTCAAAATTTAGTTTTTATTTTCCACGTCCCTGGAATACGATAATAAATATTTTGTTTGCAGTGACTGCCGATTTCGCAAGTAAATTCAGTGAAATTATTCAGAATTTGTAATTAATTAAACTAATTCTGTTTTATTTGCGGCATAACAACTTGTTTGAAAACCGAAATTGTCAATTTCATCTCAATCTCAGCATCAGTGATTTGTATTTAATATTTGATTTGGCTTACAACTATTATAACGTTAAATTGTATTTGTTACTGATTTTATCGAAAATTTTGTTACGAAACGTTGTTGTCTAGCTTGATTGATATTCGTTCATTGTTTTGGTGCATCTAAGCGTCAATTAGCATACGGTGAAGTGTTTAGAAAGTCGAAAGTCTGTTTAAGGGATTCAAGAGAAATTTTGAGCTGTTTTAAACATGAATACTGGTTATTTTTCACCCCGTTTGATGGTCGGAGCTGCTATCGTTGGCATAGTGGGAGCTGCTGGAGTCTTTATATACGAACAGGTGTATGCTGAGAAGCGGAGAGCTATGCTAGGTTAGTAAAACACCAACTTCTATGGGAACACGTTTTCGTATCTATTTAGAAAAAAAAGTACCTATATATTTAAAAAAAGAATTAAAAGTAAGTCTTAAACAAATCGTATATTATACCTACAATATCAAAAATTAAGGTTATGTTTTTGTTATTAGAATTAAGTATAAATTCTTTTTAGATAATACCTTATCGGTTTTTGAACTTTACGAAATGAAGATAAAAGTATATTCTATTAATATTAAGTAGATCTTATCACAAATGGATGTCTTTTTAATCTGTTATAATGTATCAAGTGATTGCCCATTGATACACATCACCTAATAGATTGAATATCTTTTTACAACCTCTTTGTAAATAAGTATTATCAAAGACAACATGGAAAATATCTTACATAGTTTTAAGATTGTGAACAATTTCTTTATAAAAAAAAAATATTTTGTGCAACTAATTAAGTAAGTACCCACTGACAACCTGCCTGGAAGAGATTCTTATTAGAAATATACAGTACCCATTTACCTGTTTTTGTATTTAAGTTCCTATTTACTGTATGTGTGTTGTGTTTAAATAATAAATAAATATCTGAATTAGTTGCTCTTAGCTTAACTGGTAGATTTACTGTTCTTTTTACTGTTGAAAATAGATTAAATGATCTATTAGATATACTTAAAATTATCAATGGTCATTCTGTTGAATACAACACATATAAAAAAGGTTTCATGTGAAAGTACCTACATTATCATATCATCAGCATATAAGTACCCACTATGGAATGGAACAAAATTCAATGCATCTTCTTATAAGGAGAAGTTTTGAGCTTTAATGACGAGGCATTTTTAAGACGGATTGGCAATTAAAAATCAATAAAAAAAACGAAATTATAACTCCAGTTTTCTTCACAAAGCATGCCAGTGTTATCAAAATAAACTTAAAAAGTACATATAGCTTGAAAAAAAACCTTGTAACCTCAGGTTTCAAATCATACTCTTTTACTTAATCATATTATAAAAAAGTAAAGTTAAAAGGTGTAGATTGGTTACGTAAACAAAATTCGATTTTCCAAAATGGCACACTAATACACACAAGTATAAAGTGTAGCTATACATGTTAAAGTGGGATGGCATGATTCAATAATCCCGCGTGAAAAAGAGACAGATATGAAAAAATGTGGCTAATTAGCCACATTTTATGTATCACTTTCTGAGCGCTCGTAACCTATTTACACTTTTTAAATATAATATCATTGCTTGTACTCCATGACACTACAACCAATATCAAAGTACTCACCTGCCAACTTTTGCCAAATTTTCAATTTATTTATAAAAACTCAAATTATACCATCTTTTGTTTATCAGTATTTTTTAACATGTTGCTAAGCATAAAGTGCATTACATTACCATAGCCTGCCCCAGAGCAGGAGAATAGAGTGATTTTTGCATGACACTCCAGCTTTTTAAAATAATTAGATAAATCTCCCCTACAACACAAAAAAAAACTTAATTTACTTTACAATTAAAGAACCTCAATAACGTAATTGTATTTTCCAATTAGCCAAATCGAAAAACAATTTCAGATTAAAAAAAAATGTGTGACATAAAAAAATTAAGTGAAATGTTTCATAGTTAATGAAAAAATATTTTCATAGGCCACCTTAGAACATTATTAAATCATAAATTCCAATTAGACTCTAATAGGCACTTTTGAAAATTAATCAAATATTTTATGATAAGAAAATTCAGTATCTCGAATTGTCCTCTTAGTAAAGATATTTTGTATTCTTCTCAAGACTTACATAGTATTATACCTAGCAGTCTAAACTTCTTGAAATACTCAGTAGTCAAAGGTCAAAAATAACATATAAGAGGCACTTGTGTTATTTAGTTGAGACAATGTTCATTTATGATAATTGTTTGTTTGAATAAGAACTGTGAAAGACATTGTTCTTACATACAAGTTAACACATTACGTTATTAATGTTAAGTTACTTAACTCTGCACGGCAAAGGCCTCCCTAGTCTTTCTAATTTTTTTCTATTATGTTACCTTAGTACAGGCTTAAAAATTGGCCATTTTATTCCCTTTTATTGTCCATGGAGTATGTAAAGTAAAATCACAGAGGTTTTTCTGAAGTAAGCAAAGCTTTTTTTGTGAGGAGTAAATCATCAAATGGCTTCTCCCGCCCAGGGCCGGGCGGGAGGGAGTGTCAGACTCTTACTGACTAAAAACCCCCTGTTCCTTCTCCTGCTCTGGGCCGAGGTCGCGGTGCCTCATTGCGCTTACCCCGCAACCCGGCTGAACATCAGCCCTTTAGGGCCCCGTCTGTGGTGGTCTATTGGCTCTTTGAGGCGCGCGCGGAACGCTACGCGCCGTCGCTCGGGAAGTAAGCAAAGCTGTGGTTAGAAGTTAGTTTTAAATAGGTACCTTAACAGGGTAAATAATTGAATATTATTTACAAATATAAGTATCAGTAAGTACACTTGAAATGAGTTGTAATGTGATTTAAATAGGTACTTTGTACAAGCTTCTGTCAGGAAGATTATTAAGCCAAGCTATTATCTATTTTGCCATTTTTGACTTGTGGGTGCAATAATGTCCTGGGGCCCCGGCCTAGAACAAGAGAAGGATTAGAAAAAACTCAAAAAGATTTTGTTTTATACAATTTTAAAAACTCATAGAATATTGTTGTTTTGACATTTCAAAAAACTCGTAGAAAAATTACGTTGTTAACATTTCAAAGAACTCTAAAAAACTGTCAATTGTGGCATTTTCAAAAAAACTCATAGAAATTATTGGTTTTCTAGCATTTCCATAAACTCATAGAAAATTTATGTTTTTGACAATTCAAAAAAATTATTATTAAAAAAACAAAATACCCGACTGCACACTAAAAAAAGAGTAAAACAAGCCCCACAATACAAATTTACTGAATATAATTTATAAATGTTGATGGAAAGCATCGCAGGCGGGGACCAACAGAGGCTTATTTATAGTCATTTCTGTTGTGCACCATTTAGCAGAATTTTCGTTGGTGGCGGTCAAGGTGGTCCCCGCCTGCGATGCTTTCCATCAACATTTATAAATTATATTCAGTAAATTTGTATTGTGGGGCTTGTTTTACTCTTTTTTTAGTGTGCAGTCGGGTATTTTGTTTTTTTAATAATAATTTTTTTATTTATAACTTTTTAGCTGTTTTTATTTAACGAAAATGTTGTAGATGTAGAAGACTATGTATATGTAAGTACCATTTTAAATTATTTCGACGACATTTGGCTTTAGATTACGAGTGATGTTACTCCGCAACATAAATTTACCGCCAATCTGGACTGTTGGTAGTGAAGAAGAAAAAGAATTAGGTGAGTCATTACTGCTGAAGATCCCGCAAACGTTTAAGTTCAGTTAAAGAACATTCGTCGTGGGGCCGGTCCAACAGCTTAAAGAAAAAGAACGAGTTATTTATACTTTATAAGTTTCGCGTCAGACGACGAAGTATCGAAAAAATCGCTATTTAGAGACGACCGTCAACGACGTGTGCCCTTATGCGTGTGCCCGCATATCCCCCTTTCGGGCTGTATACTCGAGCATATCCCCCTCCGCACCGCGCCGCGCGCCGCATGCCAGGCCACGCCCTATCTTTTTGCTTGCTAACACATGAGTTGCTTTGCGTTGACGCAGAATTAACATGTTCCCGTGGGAATTTTGAGAAAAAACGTATCCTATATTAATTACTCCCGTGATTGAAATGAATCTAATGATACCGCATACATATTTTTTTAAAGGGAAATTTAGAAAAAATATTATTATGTCTTTATCCCGTGGGACTTTTAGGATAAAATGTATCCTATGACACTCCCGTAATCAAGACAAATCTAACGATACCTCATACATCAAAATCCATCAAGCCGTTTAGGCTACAGGAGGTCACAAAGGAAAAGACATACATACATACTTACATACACTCGAAAAACATTACCCTCCTTCTTTGGCAGTCGGGTAAATACTCAGAAAATTTACGTTTTTTTTTAATTCTTGAGTTTGACTAGCTGGATTTAATTTTATACATCCAAACAGGAAGTCGTAAACATCTTTTGTAGAATATATTATACATATAAAGAGAAAAACATGTTTTGAGCAAAATTTATTTAACTTGCCCTTAAATTTTCGAATTAGTGATTTCCAATAAGTAGTTTCGTAGCCTATTTAATTCAAACAAACAAACAAGTCTTACCTCTAAATAATAAGAGTACCTACATTTTTTTTTAATGTTGCCCCTCACTAGGATATTCTCCTGTGTCGTGGGTGCGGTTACCTACATACAATTTCACATGCACATGACACCCAGATCCGGAACAACAATTTGTGGATCACACAAAGAGTTGTTCCGTGCGGGAATCGAACCTGCGACACGTTGCACGACAGCCAGTTGCCCTGCCACCGCACCAACCGTGCAGTCAATCAAAATCAAAAATTTTGCATAAACATTAAAAATATTAATTCTATTTCAGTAAGAGAAGTTCAGAGGCTGGATAAGCAAGTAGCCTCAATGAGGACAGAACTGGAATCTCTCAGGGAACTACAGAAAGAAGCGTAAGTATATATTTAATTTCAATTTCCTTGGGCTGTTCTTCTTCCAGTGTGCTGATTGACATACAAACAACTAACATGCTATATATACATCTCCCAAATATATAAAGGCACTGTTAAAAAAAATAGCTACTCCCGCGCGGATTCGCTGAATTTTGAGCATCCGACCTTTGGTTCCAAAGATTTACCCCCTATAGACTCGCTATGTCGGCCGCACTGTAAAAACTTACCTCTTTATAATATTAGTATAGATTCCGAACTTGCAATGCCAACTTCCAAATACAAATAATGTTGGTTATATCTTTAATCTTACTAATATTATTATGCGAAGGTTACGATGTTGGGATGTTTGTTACTCAATCATGCCAATACGGCTGGACGGATCTGGATGAAAATTCGCCCAGGCATAGGATACACTCCAGAATAGGACATGGGCCACTTTTTATCAACATACCATGCGAGCGAAGCTGCGAGTGGAAGCTAGTATTATAAATGCGAAAGTTACGATGTTTGGATGTTTGTTACTCAATCACGCCAAAACACCAGGACGGATCTGGATGAAATTTGGCACAGGCATAGGATACACTCCAAAATAGGACACAGGCCACTTTTTATCAACATACCATGCGGGCGAAACCGCGTGAGGAAGCTAGTTGAAAATAACGACTTAATCACGCGAAAGTAGAGCTTTTCTCGGTTAACTCCTAAACTGATTTTCACCATCATCAGCCAATAAGTGCTCACTGCTGAGCATAGGCCTCTTCTCATACGGAGAAGGTTAGAGCATTAATCACCACGCTTGCTCAATGCGATTTCAAACTTATAATTAGAAATTATAAGTCCAGGTTTCCTCCCGATGTTTTACCTTCACCGTATTTCAGTGGTGTCTAAATAATCATAGAAAGTATATATAACTCGGAAAACGTCACATTGGTACTTGCCAGGTTTCGAACCCACACCCTCATGCATGAGAAGCGGGTGCTTTAACCTTCGGGCCACCACGATATTGCCTAAACTGATTCTAGTACGTCGTTATTTTCAATTAATTTAGAACGTCTCACATATTTTTATAGTATCACATGGGACGCCTCTCCTGTTTGAGACGGTAAACCTCTAGGCCATCACCAAATTTTTGAATATAGGTTTTTTTTTGTGTGCGTCGGCAAACGAGTATACGTATTACCCGATGGACACCCGAACCACCAAAGGAGTTAAAAATGCGTTACTGGCTTTTGAGGGACAAAGACATCGGATATTAAAAGATTGGGCCTCCGGTAAACACAACGCTGTGGTTGTTTCACGCCGGTTGTCTGTGAGGCCGTGGTATCACTCCGGTCGAGCCGACCCATTAGTACCAGTATATGTTTAATTACTTAGAACAAATATTTTACCCTCATTTGTAGAAGCCTTCGTCGCTTGAAACAGAAAAAAGTTCGTAGGGAACGACCAGCGAAGAAGGCGGCAATCGGTGACGGCGGGGAGGCCACGGAACAAAGCTACGCGTCCGACTCTGAGTATTTTACTGACTATCAGTCTGTTCTTGGTGAGTTTTTGTCTTTTTTATCAAATGGCTTATTTCCCGCTTTACTGTTGAATTTTTTCCTGAAATTTCTTTGCTGTGAACCTTACGGAGCCTGGGAACTTTCCAACGAATGCAAAACCTTGGAAATCGGTTCGAGCGTTCTGGAGTTACAGCGTCAGAAAGGAAAACCAGACTTATTTTTATATAGTAGATTGCCCCACAATAGGATTTTCTCGTGTGCCGTGGGTGCGTTTACAAACATACAATTTGTAGATCACACAAATAGTGATTATGTGCCAGAATCGCACCTGCGACACGTTGTACGACAGCCCAGCAACGATGGAGTCGATAACTTTTTGAAAGACCAAAAAAATTATAAGAAATCGAAAAATCCTGTTGTCTTACCACCTCTTAGTTTTTCTGGGGGGATTTTTTAAATTTTAAATTTAGTTTATTTACCTTTTTTCTTCCAGGCACAGACGGAGAGCTGGACAGCGAGGAGTTCTACGACGTGCCCACTGATGATGACGATGATGACACGCTCCGAGAGTCATTACGCAACGGACACGTGGCAGAACTCAAAGACGATGTGAGTTAGCTCAAGGTCAAATCATTTATTTCAAGTGTAGGAGAGCCAGCGCTTTGCCGGCTCGACCGGAGATCACAAAAAACTGACGCGAAGCAAGACTTACGTTGTATTTCGCCATGTGTGTGAGATGACCCGTCTACTTTCCAGCCGGACTAGGGGTTCATATTCATGAGTAATTTTGCGCGAAACAAGTCGAGTTCCTTGTCATACAGTTTTGTTTTTTAAACATAATAGTTTAATCAATAAGCATGATTGTGTGGGAGAACCAAGTTTTCGGCACGAATCAGTCGGCTCGCCCAGAATGATACCACGGCCTCACAGGGAAACAAACGCGTTGTGTTTTGCCGTGTAAGTGAAGTTATCGGAGGCCCAATCCCTCCCACATTAATTTACTTTAAATTTAAGTTAATGTCTCATGAAAGTAAAAACACGAAAATAATATTTTTTGGCTTGTATTCTGGATTAGGACTTTCGCTTTCTGGTGAAAAATAAGTTAATTGGGTAGTTTCCTAGGTCAAAATTAAATTAATTTGACATTTCAATACAATAAAATATTGAAAAATAACTATACTTTCATTCATCGATCGATCGATGCACTAAATTTTAGATATATTTCAGCTAATTTTTAAGAAATAATTATTCTATTTGATGCAAAAATACTATGACGTCATAACTCAGTGTTTCATACAAATTTCATAGAAAAGTATCGTTTTTGACATTTGGATAAAAGTATTAAATTTGACTAGCTGGAAACAACCGTAATCTTTAATAAAACTTTGTTACTATTTATTTGCAGGAGGTCACAGAAAAGGACAAACCAGACACTCCTGTTTCAACGCTCAAGAATGTGACATAGCTGTTAAATATATACAGGTAAATATGTTATTTTGTTTTTTCACTCTAAAAGTGCCGACTGCTGAGTAAAGGCTTCTTCTCAGACGAAGAAGGTTTGAGCATTAATCACCACGCTTGCTCAAGGCGGATTGCCGATTTCAAACTTTTTGGTTTTTTTGCAATTTTTTTCTTCATCGTATGTCAGTGGTGTCTTATTTAACTAAAAAGGTACTTATAACTCGGAAAAAACATTGACATGAGAAGCGGGCATCGGCTTAACCTCCTGATCATCGGGACGTTGACTAGATTAATAAGCCACTGAATTAACGACCTAGCCTGTTAAATTATCGCAGTAAAATTATGGAAGCTGTTTATTTCTGAGACCAATTCAATTTTTGCGATTCCAATTCTAACTAAACCGACCACTTTGGTAATAACTTCCTTTTACCCCTACACCTAGCCTGGCCTATCTGAATGACAAATATAGATATTCGTTGAAGCCCCCCAACTTAATAGTATATTATGCTTAAGCTACCTACAAAACATATTATTTTTATGTATGTAGCTTAGATTGATTTACACCTCCACTTCCCGTAACTTCCTAAATTGCTGTATATCACCTACCACACATCTCGGCACTACCAAAAGGTTGACTGGCAGAAAATGCTTCCAGCATTAAATCCTCCGATATGCAATTGTATATAAAAAATAAATAAATAAATAAAACACAGGGAAAATGATGTCTGCAATTAGTAAATACACAGACAAAAGCAAAAAAAAAAAAATGATTATCCAATTCGAGCCAGTCGTTCCGGAGATTAGAGTGCTTAAACAAACATACTCTTCAACTTTATAATAGATCAGATGACAGAAATATTTTTTTAAATAATTTTATAATTGTTTCGCCCTTGAGAATTTCAAGTTCAACGGAATTCCTTCTTATGGTACATAAGTAAAATATCTCTTTCTTTTTCAGCCGGTGTCGAGAGCGTTAGATAAAAAGGGGGGTAAGGGGATTAGTATTAGTCTTATAGTCGGGATGGGAGTATAACCACCGTAGCTAGTTGTTAAAGACTACATTTTGTAAGCGAACGAATTGACAATGTTATATTATAACAAGTTATGTTACATTTGAATCTATGATATTACCGTTGGATATAGACCTGATCTCTATAACCTACATGGGATTTATAACAAAACTGGCGTAAAATCGTTGTTAGGTACCTCTGCCTACTAAAAAATATTTTGATTTTGAAAAACTTACGATAAAATGGTTATATCATAGGTTTAATATGTTATCTTTTAGCGAGTATATCTTTAAAAGTTAATTAGAAATGAATAGATCGATTCAACGATTTGCGCTAAACATGCGCAAAGTTTGCGCAATTTGCGCAAAATTTTGCGCAATTATTATACCGTGTACAATTTTACTGTTATAGACATATATTAGTTTTTTCTCCAATTACAAATGATTTTAATATGAATTTTAATGAGTTTCATGCAATTTATACTCACTCTAATTAACTTTTATGTGACATATTGTAATTACTTATATGAAATTCCAAGTCAATAATAATTCCATAATAATGTTAATCAATTATGTACATTACTGTTTATATTATATTATATAATAATATAAATAATCAATTTAATATTGACTAGAAGTTATTAAATATTATTTATTTTTGTTGAAGACCTAATTCATGGATGGCGATTAAGTTTTTGATTGCGTAACTAACAGTTATTTTGATCGATGTAGATGAAATGAAAGAGGTATGCTAAAGTACAATAATAATACTTTATTAAAAACTAAAAAAAAAGTTTTGACATTTCGATGTGAATATCGTATGCAATACTGGCTTGTGACGTCATTTAATCTTTTCGCGAGTAGCATAGCTATTTCTTTAAAATATGTGATAAAATTTCAAATGTATCGTCAACTTAATAACTTAACTTTAGAACTTCTCAATACAATATTAAATAATCGTTATTTAATATTGTTTTGAGAAGTTCAAATAATATTTTTTTGACCTAGAAAAATACTTGATTATGTTATTTAGGGTTCTTTTCGCTCTGCCTTGTCCAATGGACATAATATCATAAATGGCATATGTCAAAGTAAAACTTTGACATTAAGTCAAAGTTCAAAGTATATATTTTGACATACATATGTCATTTAAAAGAAACGTCAAACTCATCTGTCAGTTACGACTGTCAAAAACTTAATCAGGATGATGTTATATGGTTTTAGTGTAAAAAAAAACAGTCATTCGTTTAAGTTTTTTAAAACAAGAATATATTAAAAAAGTTTTGACGAAAAGCCAAATTTTGACTTGTTCATAAATACCAAGTAATCTATATAAAATTTAAGAAGTGTAGATCTCAGGATCTCGATTTTATTTTCTTTTTAGTCCCTTGTTGACAAAATATTAAGGCGGGGGAAGTCATTTGATGGTAATTACCCATATATAAAGAGAAGGCTATAACATAGTACCGATTTGTTCCGAAAAAAATCGGGTAATTTCCTCGGCCAAAAAGAAAATACTTGAACTTAAAAAAATACTTAATTTTTTTACGGTATACAAAATATTTGTATTTTTTTTTTCATAATTAAACTGGAATTATTACTCTATTCGACGTTAAATAATATATCGTTACAACGTTCAAAATTCATAGAAAATTTCTTTTTGACTCAGATAAAGTTCTGAATTTGATTAGAAACTATTCTACTGTCTAGAACTGGATTACGTGGCCATTAAATAATTCTATGTCGGCCAAAGCTTTACTGAAGGAATTAAAGACTATTAAAAACACTAAATAGTTTGTGTAGTAGGTACCTATCGATATTTATAAGATATATAATACCTATAAATTCAAAAAAATTACATTGATAACTAAATTCATTAAAAAATACGGCTTATTCATGTGAAATAATTGAGAATAAATACTAGCTCGCAACCATTACCGCTTCTTATGAATAAGAGTCCCGTCTTGACTTGAAACTAGTAGAGCTTTTCACGGTATGTTCACGTGAGTAACCCCCGGTTTCCGAAAGGCCGATCAATGTTAAAATCAATTTAATCTCTTGTCAAGTCATCTGATTGGTTGACTGAATTATCAACAACCAATCAGATGTCTTGACAAGAGATTTAACAGGAGATTAGTTAATTTTAGCGTTGACAAGCCTTTCAGAAACCGTGATCTATCTATTTATATAAAAATCAAAACCACTTTTCGTTATAATGTTGTAACTCAACAATGCCTTTACCGATTTGGATAATTTTGGTCTTGAATTATACGTGGAAGTCCAGTGAAGGTTTGTACCTAGAGCAAAATTAAGAATGAAAACTTGAAAAAATGTTAAATCGACATCCACAGCGGGTGAAGCCGCGGGCGACGACTAGTAGTTCTATAAATTCTAGAACTTTTTAACTTGTCAAAATTGGTGGCCTATTTCTTGTCGACGATATCTCTAAGTACCTATGCATGCGCAACGCACGCGAGCGTAATGCAAAAGGACTGAGCTTGGCGCAAATATGTGGATGAGTCGCCAATGTTGGCACTTATTCCTTATAAATAGAAAAGATAAAACCGACACTCACCGTCCAACTACCAATGGTCGCTCCAACGTTGAAGCTAATGCTATTTTCTAGATACACACGTTGGACGAATGGCGTTTTGGCCAATGTGAATGTCACTGTGGTACGTGTATAGTGTTCCTTAATGACTGTACATGTAATAATATATTAAAATAAATAACAAATAATACAATGAAAATTTATAAAAAAAGAAAAGGTAATATTATTTGAAAAAAAAAACTATTTGTAGAAAGTTCTGAAAAAAATTTTGAAAAAAGGTGATGGAAATTTTGTCTTTTGGGATTTTTTAAAATACACAATAAAAACATTCCTGATTGACGATAAAGTCTCTTTTCTTCTTAACAAATGTTGAACTTACATTATATAAAAAGTATTTTTTTTAGATTTTCATTCCTGTACATTTATTGCGTATTTTTTTTTCATGTGTGTCAAACGTTTTTTTTTTGTAATTAATTGTGTGAAAAGGAAGTCTGATAACAATGTTATATTTTTTATGATTTGCAATTTGTCTTAGGTATTTCAATGGTTTGATAAAAGTTATCTGGGAATAGTTATGATGCTGTCGCGTCAGAATATTTGTATAAGACAGTGACAGCAACAATTTTATTCCTCGGATAACATTTATCTGACTATTGAAAAATCAGTTCTGAGTCTATTGAAAAATCACCCGGTTGACCACTGAAAGGCTTGTTAACGCTAAAATTAAATAATATCTTGTTAAATTTCTTGTCAAGTCATCTGATTGGGTGTTGATAATTCAGTCAACCAATCAGATGACTTGACAAGAGTTTAAAATAATTTTACCATTGATCGGCCTTTCGGAAACCGGGGCTAAGTCTTGTTGGCCAAAATTTGGGTTTTTCCTATATTTTACTGTTGTGTAACAATGTACATAAAATGTGTATATTTCAAATGTTGTAAGTATGTTGTAAACACATAAAATGCATTTTGTAAAATTATTATTGAATGCTTTGTGTTTTAATACATGTAAAAATAATAATATTAAATAATCCCTTAAAAGATTTTCAAGAAACACAAATAAACAAAACATTTTAAAACATTTTTATTTAGTACTTGTTGACTTGGCGTTCCGTAACGCTTCAAAATTGACAAATATATCAGAGTCCATGGAGATTACAGAGAAGGAGAATGATCACTGTAGAAAATATTGTCCCAGATAATATGGACAAAATAAGTAAGGCGTTACCATCGCTAAGATTAATAAAAAAGCGGGATGTTATGAAAAAACTACTACAAACTTCTCAGATACTACTTACCGACAGCAGTGCGGCTGGTGGCTGAAAAATGGACTACGTATTAATTCAAGGACAGGCTTGCTCTAACCTCCATGGTAGGATCTAAAATTGATAGCGCGGTTTTCCGCCAAGAACCTAATGTCAAAATTTTAGTTCAGCTTGTATGAAAAAGAAAATTTTTGTTTATGCTATTTATTTATGTTTACAGGACTTTAAAACGTTCCATGGACTTCAAATATATTTTAAGACTAATATAGAAGTTGGTTGAGGCTTTCTCAAGTTTTAGCCTAACTACTACTACTACTATTACTTGAGACTAACGCACAGCAAATCTATTTTATATATCCATTATATAAAGAGATTTAGCTCCGACACTATCCTTATAACAAATAAAGTAATATCTATCTAAGGGCTTTTCAATGGTTATATAAATGTTATCTAGGAATTAATTATGATGCTGTCGCGTCAGAATGTTGGTATAAGACAGTGACAGCAATTTACTGCAATTTTAT